ATTCTTGAGGCTTTCTATCATTTATCAAAATATGTTCTTCTTATTTACTTGTTTATACCTGAGTTTGTTCATAACTGACTTTGGTAGAAACAGTATTCAAAAGCTGTCAAATTTGAGGCGGGGCACCAGTGGCTCACACCTGTAATCCTAGCTACTCAGGAGGCTGAGATCTGAGGATCATGGCTCAAAGCCAGCATGGACAGGAAAGTCTGTGAGACTCTTATCTCCAGTTAACCACCAGAAACTGGAAGTGGCGCTGTGACTCAGGTGGTAGAGCATTGGTCTTGAGCTAAAGAGCTGAGGGACAGTGCCCAGGCCCATAGCTCAAGCCCCACAACCAACAATAAAACTAAAAAAATAAAAAAGTTTTTTAAGAAGCTGTCAAAGTTTTTTTTTTTTTTTTTTTTTTTTTTTTAGTGTGAAAGCAACCGAAGTTGTTCCTCCCATCCCTTGACTTTTGTCATTTTCATTTTTATTTTTTTGTGTGTGTGTGTGTTGGTCATGGGGCCTAAACTCTGGGCTTGGGCGCTGTCCCTTAGTTCTTAAGCTCAAGGGTAGTGCTCTATCACTTCAACCACAGCACCTCTTCCAGCTTTTTCTGTTTATGTGGTGCAGAGGAATTGAACCCAGGGTCTCATGCATGCAAGGCAAGCACTCTACCACTGAGCCACCTTCCTAGCCCCCATTTTTTCTTTTTGGCTCAAGGTAGAATGGTCAAGCCACAGAATGATAGCATAGGCAACTCTCATTGGAACTGGAACCTGAAAACCTGAATAGGACTAAAGCAAGGGACAGTGACATCTGTATGCTCATGAGCCCCATTGGGTTCAATTGCCTTCTCTAGTCCAAGTATCCTGAGAGCAAGGGATTGCTGCCCAGGACTCTTGCCTGGAGAACTCAAAGGCAGAACTCAGAGTCACGTGGCTCTGGTGCTTATTCAGGATTTGGGAGAAACTCAGGTTCTTGTGCTGTGGACCTGAAGTCCTGGTACCCTTGCTGATGGCCCGAGGGTGGGTCAGCCCACAGAGCAGGCCCCCTTTTTGGGTCATGGCTCCGTCACCTTTGAAGCAAGTTGTGTCCTCATGAATCTAGTCTCTCAGTTTCTCTGAACACCCCTTCTGTTTTGTGTCCTCTGTTTCCAGCCAAAAAAAGGATCTCTGGTTTTTTAATAGCTCACATGGTTAGATTAGGCAAATCTGGAAAATCCAGGAGAAACTCCCTATTTTGAAACCTATAACTTTGAGGGTTGGGGTATTGTCTTAGTAGTAGATCACTTACCCTGGGTTTGATCCCCAACACAACACTGAGAAAAGGGGATCTATAAACTTCATCATATCTGCAAGCCCTTTGTGTCATGTCACATGATCATGGGTTATAGGGGATGAAGGTGTGGGTATCTTGGATGGAGGGAATTTTATCACAATGGTGGTTTTTCTGACTAGAAAGGGGACTTTGCTGAACATGAGGTTCTGCCTCTGGAGAGCTCATAATCTAGTGGAGGGATGAGATTCAAGAGAAGTTCAGTAGTAGTTTGTAGGCAATGTTACAGGAGCCCAGAAAGACTTATTTTTTGCTCAGTTCCACTCAAGACTTTTGGGTACCTCAAATGGCTTGTGGTTTTTCTATCATTCTCTGACTCATCCTTGGTGGACATCTCTCTTGTGAAGATCCTTCAAATGGAATCCATCGACCTCCACATGATAGCCTGTGATTCAATCAAGTTACTGCCATAGCACCGTTATTTGGGACTCTGCTGCTTGCTAAGGCAAGGTCTTGGGCTCTGAGCTCAAGGTAAGAGCAATTATGTTCTTCCCTGATGACAACGTATAATAGCTCACTGTTCCTTTCTCTTTCTCTCCCCATATTCATCACTCTCCCACCATGGCCCAGCCTTCTAATTCTTCAGTCTCAGCTCTCTCTACCATATGTTTTTCTTCTCTCTTCTTTTGCATGTTCTTTGTTTCTTACTGTTTCTAATTAAGAGGCACTCAGCCTGAGCAGCAGAGAGGTTTCTGTTTAATTCTTGCCACTTGTCATTTCCATTTTGTTTGCATGTTAGTCTGTCTTGAAATGGGGTCTTGCTAATGTGGGCTACCCTGGCCTCAAACTCAAAATCCTTCTGTCCTAGTCTCCTGACTGCTGGGATTACAGACACAGATCACTATGGCTGGCTTTTCATTCATATCTTAAAAATTCCTAGATATTTGGTCAGGTGTGGGGGAGTTTGTAATAACAGCTGTCATTTATGGAACTCTCACCACGTGCCAAATGCTGTACAGAGTCCTTGAATTTTCCCACTTAATGGAGGCATTCTGTGAGGTGTAGGTATTTTTTATTTTCATTTGAACCCAGCTCTATATACAAAGCTTATACTTAACACCACACACTATGGAAGTTTGGAATAAGAACTGAAATTGAGGGCAGCACAGATAGCTTCAGGAAGCCCAGATTTCAAAGTCCACTCTCTACAGCCCTCCTGAAAGCGAGAGCACTTTGTTCTAGAGCAGCAAGATCATCTCCAACTTTCCTCCAGAAACACTGAATGATTCCACCCAACACTGCTTCAAACAGATATGGTCGCTCGTGCCTTTCAGCACTGGAGTTCTGGTCCGAATTCAAAGAATGGATGACAATGGAGGGTGACGGTGAAGCATTGGAAGTTGGTTCATTTAGAAAGCAAAGCTCCCACTGCAGAAAGAGGTCCCGAGAGAGGGCTGCTGTTGGCAATTCATTTGTCACAGGGTCTTTATGGAACTCAGGGGAGGAGATTTCCCTGATCTTTCCAATTAGTCATTTCCAATTAGTCAGTTACTGGTGGGACAGCCAAAGTGGGCCCTGACTGCACTGTCCACTACAGGTGTTTGTGCATCTCATTTCTGATCTGGGAGTTGGTCACGTACTCCACACACTTCCTGGGAGCCCTTCACAGTGAGGGGCTTATTAGTGTGCATTTCTTCTGACTCAGAGGACTGCTTGCATGTTGCTCTTGCAATCACTTTCCGTGATAACTAAAGGCTACGTGTTATGTCCTGAGGCTCATGCTGGCTGGCTAGGACCCCGGGGTCCTTATGACACTAACTTACTCCTTGAGACCTCTCCCCTAAGTACTTGACGGCTGATTTTTCCAGACTCAACCCCACCACACAGCCACAAAGCATGCAAGGGAACCAGTTTGGCAAAGCCTATTGCAGTGGGAGTTGGGTGCTAAGGGAATCAAGTATCTGTCCCCTAAAACACATAAGCCTTGCAGGTATTTGGTATGAGTGTGCACAATACCTTCCCCATACAGAAGGATCTTGAACAGGGGCTGGGAAGGTGGTTCAGTGGTAGAGTGCTTGCCTTGCATGCATGAGGCCCTGGGTTCGATTCCTCAGCACCACATAAGCAGAAAAAGCTGGAAGTGGCGCTTTGGCTCAAGTGGTAGGGCGCTAGCCTTGAGCTGAAGAGCTGAGGGGCAGTGCTCAGGCCCAGAGTCCAGGCCCCATGACCGACAAAAAAAAAAAAAAGGATCTTGAACAGTGCCTGGCACTTCACGGGCTTGGGGTGTGCGCTGTTTCTCTCATCCAAGATGGTTCTGGTTTGTGTTTATTCAAGCCCATTGAATCCTATTCCTTCAGTTCCACTTGAAGCCAGTGTTCAGAAGAAGACACGAGATGCCTCTGTGTTGGCCCTTGTCCCGTCCCATGAATCATACAACTCTCAAGTTTGAATTCAAGAGGACTGGAATTTGAGGCCAAAGAAGGCAAAATATTTCCCTTTCCCAGTCTTGCTAAGTTCTTGAGTTACTGGTGTAATGGAAACAGGCAGCTGTGGGTTCAAATTCAGACTACACCAGTATGCTCACGTGCCCTGCTTGTTTCCAACACAGAGAGGGCTATGGATTGGGCAGGATTGGGCTCAGAGCCCCAGCTCAGCCGGTGCAAGGCTGTTTTACTCAGTCCCTCTGTCTGCAGGGAGCTGGGCTTCCTTTGTAGGAGAGTCACGCATGTGCTACCTGCAAACAGGAGGCCTGGCCAGACAGCACAAATGAAACTCTGGTGCTGCTTTACTTCCACGCGATTCGTTTGTTCAGGCCTTGACAATTGAGGTGGGCAGGTTGTGTCTCCACGTGTGAGTTACTTGTTTTCCTTCTCCACAAGCCAGGAGAGGCTACTTTGAGTGAGTGCCCTGCCCACAGGCCGGGGTGCTGTATCCAGGAGAGCTTGTTACTCCCTCGGAGTGCTACTGACCACGGACCCCCAGCCCCACCGCCTTCCACCCGCGAAGCCCCTGGCACCCAACCCGGTCTCCTCCGCGGCTGGTGGTTAATGCTCCTTCACTTGGAAAATGTTTCCCGCACCTGGGAGCAAGATGGTGCCTGGAGGGCTCACGGTCCACAGCCCCTTGTCTTCCCAAGACTGAGATCCGCATGCACCCCGACTCCCCGGGGCTCTCCAGGTTGTGGGCTCAGAGCCAGCCAAGCGGGGTGGGAGGGCAGGAAGCTTTTCCGGGAAGGGGTCCAGGAGGGTCTAGGCTGGAGGAGTCCCAGGGTGGGCGAGGGGAAGGGAAAGGTGCGGGAGCCTGGGTGGGGGGGAGGGGAGGGCGGCTCCAGCGTGGGGCAGAAGTTGAGCTGGGGGGGCCGCGGGGTGCAGGCAGCCGGCCCGCGGCTCTCCGCCCAGGTGAGGAGGCCTCCCGGAGGGTCGGGCTCCACCGCGGCGGGGCTGGAACGAGGAAGCGGTGCGGGCAGGACACCCCGCCTTCGCGATCTTGCGGGGGGTAGGGGGGAGGCGTGGTGCGGGCGGGTCCCGCAGGGGCGGAGTGGGGCCGGTGCGAGACGCGGCCTCCCGGAGAAGCGAGGCCCCCGCCAGGCGCCGCGCCGGAGGGCGCAGGGGCGGAGGGGGCGGAGGGGCCCCGCGCCCGTGTCCCAGGGCGTGCAGCCGATGCTCGCGGGGAGCGGGGGCGGGGAGGGGGCGGGGAGGACGGAACCCCCGCAATAAAACTCGCGCCGCGGACGGCACCGCTCCACTTGAATGGGCGCTCGCGGCCGCGCAGCGCAGCCGAGACCCGGGAGCGCGTTCCGCCGGACAAGCGCCGGAGCAGGTAACCGGGGCGCGGGCGGGCCCGGGGGGCCGGGCGCTGCGCCGGGGCGCGGACTCAGCGGGCTCTCCGGCACCCAGGCCGCCCCGCGCGGGGCCGCCCGCCTCGCCCCTTCCGTGCCACCCCCCCCCCCGGCCCCCGCCCCGAGGGCGCGGTCGGAGATCCCTTCTCTCTCCCCTCCACCCCTCGCCCCGTTCCCCGCGTGCTGGGATCGGGACCCGCGCAGGAGTGTTTTCCCCGTCCGGCTCCGGCGGGTCCCAGCCCCGGGGCCCCTCCCGCGGCGCACATCTGGAAAGAATCTGAGGGCGGATGGGGAGGGGAGGAGGAAGCGCGCCGGCGGGCGACGGGGAATGTGGGGGCAGGTGGAACTGGGGTGGGGCTTGCACCCCGGTAACGGACAGCCTCGGCCCAGAGCATCCGCACTAACTCACTAGAGGCCCCCGGGAGCTCAACCTTTGACCTCTGTATAGATGGGGAAACCGAGACCCCGAGTGGGGACGGAGATCTACCCCCTTGGGCTCCTGGACAGGTGGGGCGGTGCACCCCTGGCCTCTGTAGCTTAGACCAGCGCTGGGGCCTGGCTTCCTCGGCCTCTGGGTTGCGACAGCCCAGCTCTGCACCCTCTCGGAGCCAGCCCAGCTGGTGGCTTAGAGTCTGCCTGTCAGTCTGTCTGGGCAGCTGCTTGCAGCTGGGGCAGCGGGACGGAGGGGAGGGACCGGTGAGAGGGAAGGTTGGCGCCCTCCTGCTACAGTAGCGGAAGCTCTGGAGGGTGTGTGGAACCACCAGCCTGGGCCTTGGGCTGGGGTGGGTTTGTGGCATTTAAATATTTGACACGTGGTCAGGTGGAAGAAGAGGAGACTGGGAGGGGATTGGGAGGAGTGGCCGCTGCAGCCTGAGCTGCGGAGGGGAAGCAGGCTTGGCTCTGGCCAGGGTCTATTCTGCGCTGGTGGGCTGTAGTCTCGGTCTGGGATAGGCACGTGTGTGCAGTCTAAGCTTCTGCCTTTCCACCTTGGGCAGGCTGGGAAAGGAGGAGCCTGAAGGCTGGCCTGGGACAATCCCATGACTAGTCTGGGGATTTTGCCCCTTAATGTACCTTCTTAGGACCCAAAATGCCACATGCAGGTGACTGTTTCCGTAAGTTACATGAGAGGGTACTTTGTCCCTTCTGCCTGAATCTTGGGTAGGGGGTTGCTGCTGGTTAAGTCATACTCAGAAGTGCTGATCCCTACTGGGTACAGTGGCTCATGCCTGCAGTCCAAGCTAGTGGGGCCGGGGTGAGGTCTGAGGACCACCGTTTGAAGTCAGTCCGGATAGCAAAGTCTGGGAGACTCTTAGCTCCAATAAAGCTGGAAGTGGAGCTGTGGCTCAAGTGGTAGAGTGCTACCCTTGAGCACAAAAGCTCCGGGGGACAGCTCCTAGGCCCTGAGTTCAAGTCCAAGGAAACACACACAAAAGAGTGCTGACCACTAGATAATATTGCTGCTGCTGCTGTTCCTGCTCCTCCTCCTCCTCCTCCTCCTCCTTCTTCTTCTTCTTTTTTTCTTTTGGCCATGGAGCTTGAACTCAGAGCCTGGATGCTGTCCCTGAGCTTTTTCACTCAAGGCTAGTGTTCTGTCACTTTGAGCCGTAATGGCACTTCCGGTTTTCTGGTGGTTAATTGGAGGTAAGAGTCTCGTGGACTTTCCTGCCCAGGTTGGCCTTGAACAGTGATTCTCAGGTCTCAGCCTCTTCAGTGGCTAGGATTACAGGCGTGAGCCACTGGTGTCTGGCTATTGCAGATTTTTGTTAAACTCTGTCTTTCACGAATCATTCAGCAAATGTTTCCTGGCGTCCACTTCATGTCTGGGGAGTCGGAAGGCTCAGCTGAGAGGTGAAAGGTAAAACGGTGGGGTGCTGCAGGAGCGCCAAGGAACCTCTGAACTCTTCTGAGCGACGGGAGAGGCCCCCAGAGCAAAGACATTTGAGATTCCCGGGATGGGCAGCAGTGAGAGCCCCCTGCGCTTGAACCTGCAGTCTTGGGAGACAGCTTCAGAGTCCTAGGATTTCCATTGGCATCAGCAAGCTGTAGCTATCCTGGCCCAGGGCAGGTGCTCAGTGAGTTTTCACTGACTTTGGGTGGAGGAAGAAGGTGTGCTGAGGGATGAGGGTCTACTCTCTTTTTTGGGTCTCCCTTGCCATTCCTTCATCCAGCTTTACCTTCCACAAATATATGTTAGCCCTTGAGATTTGGAGAGGGGTGTTCAGTATACCTCAGTTACTTTCTCAGTAACAGTCTCCTCAGGCATATCATACCTACTTGGTGCCAGCACCAGGCTGGGCCTATTCTCTCATTTAATCCTACAAGTAGCTTCCCTGTCTATTTCCTCAACTAGGAAACAGCTCAGAGTGGGGAAGCAACTCCTTCTACCTCACACAGCAGACCTCCTTTCTCCAAAGCTCCCCACCAAGGAAGAGCCCACCGGCAATTTAAGCTTCCCCTCTGTCCCAAGGGATTGCCAATTCAGGTCGAATTGAAGCTTGTGAAAGCCAGGTGTCTGCTTCCCCGTGGCCCTCCCTTCCCTCACTCCCCATGTGGCCAGGCACATGGAGGGCCTGGGGGGCTTTTCATGCTCAGTCTCCCCACTGCCCCCTGTCAGTATTCTTTTTGTGTTTGTGCTGGTCCTGGGGATTGAACTCAGAGCCTTTCTTTCTCACTTGGCTTTTTTGTTCAAGGCCAACCTTGCTCAGCATTTTTTTTGTTTTTGACAGTTGTGGGTCTTGAACTCTGGGCCTGGGTGCTGTCTCTGAACTCTTCAGCTCAAGGTGAGCACTCTACACTTGAGCCACAGAGCCACTTCCAGTTTTCTGGTGGTTAATTAAGAAATGAGTCTCACAGACTTTCCTGCCCGGACTGGGTTTGAACGGTGATCCTCAGATCTTAGCCTCCTGAGTAGCTAGGAGTACAGGCAATTGCTCAGCATTCTTAAAGGACCCTGCAGGGGAAGTGAGGCTCAGATGGTGTGGTGCAGCAGCCAAGGTCAGATCAGTGAGCAGAGCTGGAGCTGTCCTGGCTCATGGTCCTGAGAGTTACTGGGAAGCCAACGGACACAGAGAGCTCTTGGGGCCACCATGCTGTAAGTCTTAACCTGTTTTTCCTATGTCTTCTGGGATCCGCCCCCTGCTCTCCCTCGCTGCAGCCAGCACTTTCCCTTGCCTACAGCAGATTCATCATCCTTCACCTGAGCCCTAGCTTCACAGATGGCTGTCATCCCAGCCTGCCTTCATGCTTATCTTCCACACTGCTCATCTTCCAGAGACAAAGTTCACTTTTGAGCCTAATCTGGTCAGGACTTGTAGCTGTGGTGACTACTTTAGTCTCTGCCTCTCCCAAAACAGTCTAGTGACTTTATTTATTTATTTATTTATTTTGTCCGTAGTGGGGCTTGAACTCTGGGCCTGGGCATTGTCCCTGAGCTGTTCAGTTCAAGGTTAGCATTCTACCACTTGAGCCACAGCTCCGCTTCCAGTCTAGTGACTATAGTCACAGCACAACCTGGACTCTTTCTGCCTAGGTCTTTATACTCTTCTCCTTTTGTGGGATACATATCCCTCCAAGTGCTAGACCAGGCATCCCTTCCTCTGGGAAGCCATTTGTGGCAAGATTAGGCTTCTCTGGACCCCTAACAGATTCCAAGCTTCCTGTGATCAAACTTGTGTTGACACTGGGATTATCAAACTCAGTTTACACATAATTCTCTAGGCCAACACTGGCTAACTGCAATAGCAGGTAAACAACAAATGTGATGTAAACATTTTCTAGATCCCATCTCTAAAAGAGCAAAACCAAACAGGTAAACTTAACTTTGTTTCACCCGATTTGTCTGAAGTACTACCATGTATCTTTATATTGATAAAGATAAATGAGAAGATATATTAATGTTAAAGAGGTAGTTGAGGGGCTGGGAAGGTGGCTCAGTGGTAGAGTGCTTGCCTTGCATGCATGAGGCCCTGGGTTCGATTCCTCAGCACCACATAAGCAGAAAAAAAAAGAGGTAGTTGATATGCTTTGTTTTGGTAGCATGTCTTAAAGTCTATAGGCATTACAGTGTACACTTTCAGCACATCTCAGTTTGGACGAGGCACACCTGAAGTACCTCATAGCCATATGTGGTGCCTGGAGCCCCTAAGCCAGGAGCCTGCCTGAGGCTTTCTCTGGGTGTCCAGCAGCTGGTGTTCTTTGCTCAGGCAAGAGCAGCAGGGGACAATGCTGAAGAGTTGGGTGGACACTCAGCTTGGCCACCTAGCCTAAGTCCCCATGGGGCCTCAGTCCCTGATCTCCAAAGTGCTGACAATATTTTTACTATGGTTCATAATATGAATGTGTGTGTGTGCGTGTGTGTGTCTGTGTGTGTGTGTCTGTTTGTACTGGTCCAGCTCCGTTTCCAACTTTTTGGTGGTTAATTGGAGGTAAGAGTCTCATAGACTTTCCTGCCCAGGCTAGCTTCAAATGGTGATCCTCAGATCTCAGCCTCCTGAGTAGCTAGGAATATAGATGTGAGCCACCAGCACCCATCAGCTTACAGATTTTTCACAGATACCAGTAGAAGGTGAGGGAGAGAGTTTAAGTGCATAGGATTTATAGGGACCAGAGCTCCTTCTCCTGGACCTTTGCCCTCAGCCAAGCTACCAGTCCTGAGTGAATCTTTGGCCTGGGTCCGCACTCCCTCCTAGAACCCCAATCTTGTCAGGCAGGCAAGGATAGGAAGTGTATTGTAGTCTGCTGTGGCAGCTCCAGGACTCCAGGAATGAGCCAGGGGTGAGGCTCTTAAGGTGCTGGGGAAAAGGGATCTGCAGAAGGCATTTGGTGAGGAGGCTGGGCAGTGTGGGTGTGAAAGGGGAACAGAAGGCCACTCTGTCATGTCATGAGTGTCACCTAATGCTGATTCACTGCTCTCTGGATCCTACTAGTGGTGAGTGCTGTACTTGGTTTTCTACGAGGCCAAGAGGCTAGGGGGCTCAAGTCTGAGGCATTTGGAACCGGAGGGTCACAGAGGCCTGGCTGCTGTCCTTGTCCCTCACCTGTGCCTTGCTGGGAACGGACGGGGCCTCACCTTGGAGAGCTGGCTGAACTGAGGAAGGAAAGTGGTGTGAAATAGCGCAGCGGCCACAGGGCAGTGTGGAGTCACAGGCCGCTTGCAGCTGCAGTGACTTCTGGGAGCATGTGGGGCTGGGGAAGCCAAGCAGGGAAAAGAAGAAGCAGGAGATGCTAGAGGAGTTGATGGGGTGGACCAGGCTATGGAGCAGATGAGTAGTGGTTGGAAGAGCTGACATTTATTGAGCACTTACTGTGCTCTGTGCATATCACACTGATGACTCACGGTCTCCTTAGGAAGACAGCGCTGGTATTGTCTCCGAGGACAGATGAGAAACTGAGCTTAGACTGTTTCAGTTTTCCAAACCTGCTCAGGTCCAGCATCTGGTCAGACCCTTCTAGCTGCTTTGTGTTTGGTTCCTGATGTAGTTGGGGGAGAGGCTTGGCTGGGGCCATGTGCTACGCATGACTGGACACCCACACCTGGACACTTGCCAGTGTCCTTCCTGTCCACGCAATGGAGCTACTGGCTGTAGTCACCGCAGTAGCAGTGGTGGCTCCTGTCACCTAACAGGTGCCAGGCGCTCTGTATCTGCCATAAGATGACTTCTCACAGGAGCGTGAGTCAGACTTTGTGCCTGCCTGGCACCGCTAAGGAAGGTGAGAGCCACTTAATGGTGGGACTTGGGTTTAGGGTTCCTGACTACCACATGTCCCAAGTCCTCACATGCCAGACACATTGTCCGAGTGAGTCCCTTACTGAGAGCTCAGGGAACCGCCCCTGAGCCAAGCCCAGGTCTGTAGGACCCTGGGGACAATGACACCCTAGCATCATCTTCAGGCTGACTGGGACCATGGGATGTGTGTGTGGGGGGGGGAGGACGAGTGGTGTCCTGCTCTGGCAGTGGTCACGTGAGCACACTGGGCCCTGTGAGGGAAGCAGAGCATGTTGGCCTCAGGAGTGGGCTTTGGGGCTAGCTCTTGTCAGGCTATGAATGTGGCCTGTGCTCAGACTCACAGAATTGTCCATGGGCCTTTGAGAACTCATACGTCTCACAACACTGCTGTTGCATGAGAGAGGGAAGGGCATTTGGGGCAGAAGGAACATTCCATGAAGAGGCCTGGAGGAAACACCACTCAACAGCCTTCTGTAACTGGGCTGGTTGGGGAGAGGACAGCCGGAGGAGAGGCAGAGCTGAGTGCTGAAGATCTTAGAATAGAAACTAAAGGGCTGCGTACCCCTGCTGGTGCCGAGGGAAGGCCAAGGGCTCCCTGCACCGCCTGTGCCAGGGTGGCAGGATCTTGGTGAAGTCTAGGTCCTGCCTCAGCTTGCCTTCTATGAAAATGAACGCACAAATTCCTCAGGACCCACCAGCCTTGTGAGGGTTGTAGAAGATTTTGTAGCCTGGGCTTTGTGTACGCTTACCCTTTAGAAAGGCAGCCCTGATGGGGTGCAGGGGGGTAGGAAGGAAGAGGTGGCATTAGGAAGATCCTTGTGTCCAGGAAGGGCTCCTCATGAATTGCCAGGGAGCTAGCCATGTGCCCAGTATACAGTCCATTACCACGTGACACGGTGACCCTGACCTGCTCTTCCCACAGATGCCAGCAGACACCATGACCCAGAGCAGGGTGCTGCTGCTTTTGCTGCTCTTGATGCCTCAGCTGCTCCTGGGACTGAACACTGAGGAGGATGAGTTTGTGGAGGAGGAGCCTGTGCTAGTCCTGACCTCTGAGGATCCACGGCCTACCTCAGGCCCCATCGACTGTCCCCGAGATTGTTCCTGCTCCCAGGAGGGGGTTGTGGACTGTGGCGGCATTGACTTGCGGGAGTTCCCAGGAGACCTGCCTGAACACACCTACCGTCTGTCCCTGCAGGTGAGACTCATGAGGCCCTGCCTACGTCATTGCTGTCTCAGAACCCCAGCACACACGCATATACGCACATACAGAATGTGCTTCTAACATGTATGGCTCCAAGCCCTACCTTCCTGCAGGTCAGACTCATGGTGTCCTGTTCTCGACCTGCTCACAGAGCATCGGACATTGTAGCCTGATTGTTTATTGCAAGGAGTCTGAGATGCAGCCCAGCGTGTGGTGGCAGACTCTGTGTCACAATAACACATACAGATGACCTGCTCTCAGGTGGCTATGGCACCGCAGATGCCATCCAGGGTCAGGAAGACCAAAGCCAATGACCCAGCTTGAGAGCTTGGGGTCTCAGAGCACAGAGTGCTCACCTTTGCTGAGATACAGACCACATTGTGAGCCTTGAGAAGTGGGCAGGGCCTTCCTGGTGCATTCAGGATGGTCCCAGGGGGAGAGAGAAAAAGAGGCTGTCACTCCTTTCCAGAGAAGATCAGGTCCAGTGAAGGAAAGTGACCCATGGCCACACAATCCTGGCGAGTGGGACTAGGCTGGCAGCTGCAGGGATCTAGGTCAGGATGCCCAAGAAGAACGGTTGACAGCTTTTGTTGTAGTTTATTTGCTCTTGCTTTCATCCAAACTGTCTCTTGGGTAACTTGCTTGGAGCCTCTGGTTCTGTGTAGGTGCTAGGTACAAAGGGAGAACTCAGATACCCTGCAGGTACCCATTGTCTGCACAAGGCTGAGACCTAAGTAGAGAAGTCAGCTAGAAATCAGCCTGTGATAATGGGGTCTGGAGTCAGCTCCCAATTCTCCCTAACCCAAACCAGAAAGGCTCCTAAAAGAGGTGGGCAAAGATTCCAGGTTTTCAAAGATTCTAATGGGAGGGGTCCACAGGGCCAAGGAAGAGAAGCAAAGTGATTTCTGCTTAGGGATCAACTGCAAACACCCTTCACCAAGCAGGGACACCCAGGGGAGGGGCTTAAGGGGGTCAGATGGCCCACCAAGCCTGAAACTGCTCATTTGTGGTCCCTGCTGAACCCCAGTGTTATATGACCCAACACCCAGTGACTGTCTGTCAAAGAGGAGAAATCTGAAACAGGGGCCCAAGAGAGGGAAGGTCCCAGCCTGGCGCTGGTGGCTCACACCTGTAATCCTAGCTACTCAGGCAGATGAGATTTGAGGATCATGGTTCAAAGCCAGCCCAGGCAAGAAAGTCTGTGAGACTCTTATCTACAATTAACCACCAGAAAACTGGGAATGGTGTTGTGGCTCAAGTGGCAGAGCACTGGCCTTGAGCTGAAGAGCTGAGGGACAGCGCCCAGGCCCAGAATTCAAGCCCCACAACTGACAAAAAAATAAAAAGGGGAAAAAAAGAGGGATGGTCTCTAGATTGAGGCCGAGCATAGGCACAGTAGCACCCTGGCTAAAGCTGTTCCTATCCCCCATCTCCCCCACAGAACAACCAGCTGGAGAAGATCTACCCTGAGGAGCTGACTCGGCTGCAGCAACTAGAGACTCTGAACCTCCAGAATAACCGTCTGACTTCCCAAGGTGAGGGGTCAGTTCTCAGTTCCCAGAGTTAGAGGACTCTGGATGGGGACTTGGGCCTGCTGCTGGGTGCCTACCTACGAAGAGAGCTTGGTCCAGCAGATTGTGGTGTGTAGGGATGAACAGGCCGGGGCTTGCCTGGCTGTGGGGCTGCGTGAAGACGGGCTTTGTGCGTGCAAGGGCTCCCCTGATGGTGAACAAAGCCAGCCCTAAGCATTTCTGAGACTGGGAGCCAGGCTTTCCTGGGACCGTGTCACACTCTTCAATTCACAGGAGCCCATAGATTCACAGGGGCCCATAGAATCAAAGGGTTTCAGGGCCCTCAAAATTTAAGGTGTTCCCCCCTGCCCTCCCCTGACTGATGTACATGATTAAGTTAGAGAATCTTGGAAATGTAACGGGTGAAAAAAAACCCTTCTAAGCCTGCCATTCTGACTAATTACTGTTGGCATTTTGGTATGTTTTCTTTTATTTTTAAAAAGGTAGCTTCGGTCTGGGAATGTGGCCGAATGGTAGAGTGCTTGCTTAGCATGCATGAAGGCCTGGGTTCAATTCCAGAAATGTTGCCGTGGCTCAAGTAGTAGAGTGCTAGCTTTGAGCAAAAGAGGCTCAGGGACAGTGCCCAGGCCCTGAGTTCAAGCCCCAGGACTGGCAAAAAAAGGTAGTTTTACTGATATATAATTTATGTATCATAAAAGGTACTCAATTTCAAGGTACAATTTGATGAGATTTAGGAAGTTGACACAGTTGTATAACCTTTCATATAACCCATCTCAGACATTTCTTTGTAGGTTTAAATTTTTTTCTTTTTTTTTTTTGGTCGGTCGTGGGACTTGAACTCTGGGCCTGGGCGCTGTCCCTCAGCTCTTCAGCTCTAGGCTAGCGCTCTACCATTTGAGCTACAGCGCCACTTCCGGTTTTCTGGTAGTTTATTGGAGATAGGAGTCTCACGGTCTCTCCTGCCCAGGCTGGCTTTGAACCGCGATCCTCAGATCTCAGCCTCCTGAGTAGCTAGGATTACAGGCGTGAGCCACCAGCGCCCGGCTTAGGTTTAAATTTTTTATTTTTTATTTTTTTAAATTTTGGGTCCGGTCGTGGAGCCTGAACTCTGGGCCTGGGCACTGTCCCTCAGCTCTTCAGCTCAAGGCTAGCGCTCTACCACTTGAGCCACAGCGCCACTTCTGGCTTTTTTCTTTTTGCTTATGTGGTGCTGAGGAATCGAACCCAGGGCCTCATGCATGCAAGGCAAGCACTCTACCACTGAGCCATCTTCCCAGCCCTGTAGGTTTAAATTTTTTTAATTAATTATTTTCGTGCTAGTACTGGGGCTTGAACTCAGGGCCGAGCACTCCTTGCTTGCTTGCTTGCTTGCTTGCTTCCCTCCCTTCCTCCCTTCCTCCCTCCCTCCCTCCCTCCCTCCCTGCCTTCCTTCCTTCTTCTTTCCTTTGTCCTGGGGCTTGAACTCAAGGCCTAGGTAATATCTCTGAGCTATTGTTGTTGTTGTTTATAGGCCTTGAACTCTGGGCCTGGGTGCTGTCCCTCAGCTCTTCAGCTCAAGGCCAGCATTCTACCACTTGAAACACAGTGCTACTCCTGGTCTTCTGGTGATTAATTGGAGATAAGAATCTCACAGACTTTCCTGCCCAGTCTGGCTTTAAACTGTGATCCTCAGATCTCAGCCTCCTGAGTAGCTAGGATTACAGGTGTGAGCCACTGGCACCTGGCTACCCTGAGCTTCTTTAGCTCAAGGCTAGGGCTAGCACTCTATCACTTGAGCCACAGCGCCACTTCCAGCCTTTTCTGTTTATGTGGAGCTAGAGAAGGCATGCTAGGCAAGCACTCTGCCACTAAGCCACATTCCCAGCCCTTGCTTAGTTTTCTTTTTGCTTAAGGCTAGCACTCTACCACTTGAGCCATACTTCTTGCTTATTTATTTATTTATTTTTGCTGGCTAATTGGAGATAACAGTCTCATGGACTTTTCTGTCTGGGTTGGCTTTGAACTGTGATCCTCAAATCTCAGCCTCCTGAGTAGCTAGGATTATAGGTAAGAGCCACCAGCACCAGTTTTTCTTTTTCTTTTGGTACTTAGCTTTGAGCTCGGGGCCTCATGCAGGCACTCTGCCGTGTGAGCCACTCCATGAACCCTCACAGTGTTTGCAAGTTCATAGCTAATTCTACTGTAGAGAAGATAACCTGCTTTGTTTCACTTGAATTCGCTCAGCAGCATTTCTCCTGTTGCTAAAGCTTTCACTGGCTGTCATTTCACACCACACAGCAGGGTATTCCACGAGGGCCACTCCACAGTTTATATAACTGTTCCCTCACTAGAAACTTGGGTGCGCCCCAGCATCTGGGGGTCTTGGAGTCCAGGACTGAGTGTCAGAGGCCGACCTCACGGCTGGAGAGAGGCCCAGTTCCCAGCAACATGACATGTATAAGAGGAGGCAAAGGAGATCCAGGTGGTGAAGAGCCCCTATCCTGCCCAGAGGGGCCCCCCACTCACCTGTGGGTGGTACTAAGAATGAAGAAAGGGGCCTGACCCCTGTGGCCACCCACAGGGGATCACTCCTTCCAGTTCAAAGGGTCAGGCCGGGTCACTCAGTCCCTCAGTGATACTTAATGTCTTCCTTCTGTGCTTGGACCACGTGGGTAAGGAACAAGAAGGGCTGGGCAGGCCCACAAGAATTTCTCAGAAAGGGATCCCAGCTTCCCCTTTGTCTCCTTCTTCCCAGCAAGTGGGGAAGGCATGGGGTTGGGATGGCTCCCGCGTTCTCCTGTAGCATGTCCTTCATCCTGGGCTCTGACCTGTCCTTTGAAGGGCTCCCGGAGGAGGCATTTGAACATCTGAACAACCTCAATTACCTGTACCTGGCCAATAACAAGGTGAGGGGCTTGGAGGGGGTGGTGCTGCCCTGTCCTCCTGCTGCTGTCATTCCCTGACTTCTGTGAACCCTTCTCTCAGCGGGCCGCTGGGCCCGGTGCTGCTCAGATGCAGCCCTTGGAAGTAGGGATGTGAGTCAGGATATCAGAGCGTGTTAGATAATGAAGATAGAAGACAAGGCTTCAGGACTGCAGGGGAGGGAGCGCTCCACCCGCCGAGGAAGCACTGGAGTGCTTCTTGGAGGAGGTGGCATCTGAACAAGGTGATGAAGGGCAGTCAGAACACTACAGGAGGAGAGACAGCAGCCAGGTGTAATGGTTTTCTCTGATAGTCTTAGCACTCAAAAGACTGAAACTGGAGAATCACTTGCATACAGGAGTTTAAGACCAACCTGGACAACAAAAGGAGATCTTGTCTCAGTAATAACAAGAACAACAATAAGACTGAAGTACAAGGCACACACGCTCAAAATGTTTGGTGTGCCCCAGGACCCTAGCCCAGCCTCTTCTTGCTCTAAACTCTCCCAAGATGCCCCATCTTCTCCCAGGTGGCCATGTCTGAGGGTCTCAGTTAGTCTCATTCCTCCAGCTTGAGACTCAAAGGTCCACCTGCTTCTAACACCTCCCCTAGGTGTCTAATGGGATGCCTCCTGGATCAGGAGCCTCTTGGCTCCTGAGTTTCTCCCTCCTCAATTCTCTTCATGGGTTTCTCCGCAGGGAAATTAGAATGACCTTTAAAGTCATGCCCTGTTGGCTACCAGTGGCTCAATCCTAGCTACTCAGAAAGCTGAGATGTAGAGGATGGAGGTTCAAAGTCAGTCGGGGCAGAAAAGTCCTCTAGACTCCATCTCCAATTAGCCAACAGAAAGCAAGGCTGGAGGTATTGCTGAAGTGGTAAGCATCAGCTGAAAAAAAACTTTCACCTATCCATCCACCTAGGCTAAGCCTGGAATAGGAGGGTAGGGACAGGCCTAGGAGGCCTTGAATGCCAGGTTCAAGACGTGAGGAAGTCAGAGAGGTTTTGTTTTTTTCCTTTCTCCTGGAGTGGGTTAGATTTCCACAGAAGACAGCCCTGGTGGCAGGGCGGGGACAAGTGAAGGGGCCTACAAGAAAGAGCAGCTGGCAGCAGGGCCCAGAGCTGGCCTTCATCCTTTTTCTACCTGACTGTTCCCTTTCCAGCTGACACTGGCACCAAGATTCCTGCCAAACACCCTGATCAGTGTGGACTTTGCTGCCAACTCCCTCACCAAGATCTATGGGCTCACCTTTGGCCAGAAGCCTAATTTGAGGTCAGAGGTCAGAGGGAGGGTCCTGGGCTCAGAATGGAAGAAGGGAAAAGGTTAAGGTGGAGCTGTTCCTCCTATGTGGGGCCTAGACAGCCTCTGAGGAGGGGCTTGCCATGCAGTTAACAAGGCCTCTGGGGTGGGAGTGCTTGGCGGAGAAACATCCAGGGGCTAAAGATACTCAGGATCCAGACAGTTGAGAACTGAAGAATGAGGAGGGCTCAGTCCAGGAGTCAGGGACAGAGAATTCTGTGTGTGGAGCTGTGGAGCCTGGGTGGAGAGAGTATCTTCCAGTAGACAGAACATTCCTGGAGCTGCTGAGAGGCCCCATCCCTGCCAGCACGGGGTGTGGTATGGAGGTGCCTGGACTGGGGGGGGGGGGGAGGTCAGGAAATCCAATTCCTGCCACCCATTTCCAGTGGGGCATTGACTCTTCCGATCTCCATTTCCTTGGTGGTATAGTCAGCATCTGCAGTATTTAGCTCTGCATTCTTAGCTTCAGATGGGAAGAGAGTGTCAGGGTCTCAGTTCCAACCTGACCAGGAGTTGAGGAGAGTCCAAGTGGGGGTGATCACTGTACCTTAACTCCCCTCCTCAGGTCTGTGTACCTGCACAACAACAAGCTGGCGGATGCCGGGCTCCCAGAGAACATGTTCAATGGCTCCAGTAACGTGGAGGTCCTCATCCTGTCCAGCAACTTCCTGCGCCACGTGCCCAAGCACCTGCCTCCTGCCCTGTATAAGCTGCACCTCAAGGTAGGGAGGGCAGAGGCACGGAGTCCGGAGGGCCTGAGAGGGAGACAATGACCTAATCTTCAGTGTGGGTCTCGTGTGGGGCTATCAGTACACACCTAGGTGCTCTAGGTCTGAATCCCATCTTAGTGGCTTCTTCACAGCTCATCCTGAGGCCTTTGCCTATTTCTCACCCTCCCCTCTCCACTTTTCCATCCTCAGAACAACAAACTGGAGAAGATCCCGTCTGGAGCCTTCAGTGAACTGAGCAACCTACGTGAGCTGTACCTGCAGAATAACTACCTGACTGACCAGGGCCTGGACAATGAGACCTTCTGGTGGGTCTGCGTCATAACACATCCTCAGTATCACTGTGGTGTCTGGCAAGCTCCTCCTGTGGCCTACTCCTAGCCAGACCCTGTTATGTATTCTTTACCCACTTCTCCTAGCTGCTTCTCCTGGAGAAGGATCTTTGAGTCTTATTCCCCTGTTGACTTTTTTTTTTATATGTGTGCCAGTCCTAGGGCTTGAACTCACGGCCTTGGCATTGTCCCTAGCTTTTTTTTTGGCTAGTCCTAGGGCTTGAACTCAGGGCCTGGGCACTGTCCCTGAGCTGCTTTTTCTCAAGGCTAGCACTCTACCACTTGAGCCACAGTGCCACTTCCAGCTTTTTCTGCTTATGGGGTCCTGAGGAATCAAACCCAGGGCTTCATGCATGCTAGGCATGCCCTCTACCATTGAGCCACATTCCCACCATATTTCATCGTGTGTGTGTGTGTGTGTGTGTGTGTGGTTAATTGGAGATAAGAGTTTCATGGACTTTCCTGCCCACATTGGCTGAACTGCGATCTTCAGGTCTCAGCCTCCTAAGTAGCTAGGATTACAGATGTCCACCACAGGCACCAGCTCTTTGACATTTACATCCCCAGGAACAATAATGTATGTAGCTAGGCAAGGGCTGACTAGATGGCAGGAAGTCCAGGGAGTCAAGGGAGTATAGAAGGAGACTGGCTCCTTGACACAAAGTGCAAACTCAAACATTCCTGTTGAAGGCAAATGTATTTTCATTTTTCTGGGCCCAGGAAAGCCACAAAAGGCTAATACAAGACTCAAACCAACTCTTATGTGTCCAAAACTGTCCTAGATCGTTCCTATACAACTACAGAGTATCCTAAAGGGATACTCTGAGTAGACGTCCCCAGTTGGGAGATGCAGCACTGGAGCAGCAGTGCCCTACTTGGGAAGAATGATGGGAACAAATGTGACGTGGACTCTGGCTGAGCATCCTTATTCTGTCCCTTCCCCATCCCTCCCCAGGAAGCTCTCCAGCCTGGAGTACCTGGACCTGTCCAGCAACAACTTGACTCGGGTCCCAACTGGGCTTCCACGCAACTTAGTCCTGCTGCACCTGGAGAAGAATGCCATCCAGAGTGTGGACGCTAATGTGCTGACCCCCATCCGCAACCTTGAGTACCTCCTGCTGCACAACAACCAGCTGCAGGCCGATGGCATCCACCCGCAGGCTTTCCAGGGTCTCAAGAAGCTGCACACGGTGCATCTGTACAACAACTTGCTGGAACGTGTGCCCAGTGGCCTGCCTCGCCGAGTGCGCACGCTCATGATCCTGCACAACCAGATCACCGGCATTGGCCGTGAGGACTTTGCCACCACCTACTTCCTGGAGGAGCTCAACCTCAGCTACAACCGCATCACCAGTCAGCAAATGCACCGGGATGGTTTTCGCAAGCTGCGCCTGCTGCGCTCACTCGACTTGTCTGGTAATCGCCTCAACAAGCTGCAGCCCTGTCTGCCCCGTAATGTGCATGTGCTAAAGGTCAAGAACAATGAGGTGGCCACCCTGGCACGTGGGGCATTGGCAGGCATGAGCCAGCTGCGGGAGCTCTACCTCACCAGCAACCGGCTGCGGAGCCAAGCCTTGAAACCAGAAACTTGGGCAGACCTACAGCATCTGCAGGTACAGAGGGGCTGAGCCACGCATAGAGAGGGGACTACTAGTAGGTCTGCTCTGAGCCCGCTCATCTGATGAGGCTGGGTGAGAACTGAGCCATGAGGGAGCTTCCTTTGGGGTAGCAAAGTGAAGCTATTTCACCATCAGGTAGATGGGCAGTCATGGCTGCAGATAGGACCCATAGATCAGGAGGACCCCTGCAAGTACAGAAGTAGGTGCCTGGAGAAGCTGGGCCCTGGGGAGAGGGGAGAATTAGCCATGCTGACCTCACCATTCTGCCAGGGGCCAAGTAGGTGTGCGTGCATGTGTGTGTGTGTGGGGTGGGGGAGTCCCTGCCCCAGGGGCCAAGATTCCCCAGGCATCTTGGAGCCATCCAGGGGTATGGCTACATGGCAGAGGCTGATAGAGATGCCTTGGTAACTAGTAAACCCATTCAATGAGAAAGGGCTATGGAGAAAACTGATCAGAGGGCCCTGGAGGGGACCAGGCCCTTGACCTTGGCCTTTCAAAGCCTCTCTGATGTCTTCCCAAAACCACTCTCACAAGCCAGGGTACCTGGGCCTCTGCATTGTTGTCCCCTCCCATAAGACATCCTGAGGGCTTGCTCTGCTATTTCTGGGGTTCTGCTCAAATGCCACCTTCTTGGAGACCTCCATTGTTTTTGTTTGTCTGTTTTCCTTTTTTCTCCATAAGCTTTACCCTTCCAGGCCTCAGGCTATCTGTTGTCTGCCCCCGAGGCTAGAATAAGGAGTGGGACTTTCAGTCTTCTGTGCCTCCCTGGATATGGTAGCCTTGGGGGCACTGCTTGTGGGGTGTGAGCTCTTCAAACCTAATGCCAGGACTGGGGTGCCTATGTGGAATGTAGGGAGTGGGTGTCAGCCCTGGGGCAGAGCAGGTGGTGTGGGAAAGGCTGCTGGTCTGCAGCTCAGCTAGGTTTCTCCTTGCCCTGACCTCCTTGCTGAAAGCCAGCTGCCAGGTCCAGCTGCCTATGCTACCCTTTGGGTGATTCCTTGGGAGCTTGTTCTTAAAGGGCTCAACACCTGTCATACGTCTTTCTCTTGTATTTGTGTGTATTGTATGCATCGGTACTGGAGCTTGAAGCAGGGTCTCACTCTCTAATTTGGCTTTTTCTGCTCAAGGCTGGCAATCTACCACTTGAGCTACTTCTGGCTTTTTGTTTTTTTTGGCCAATCTTGGGGCTTGAACTCAGGGCCTGGGCACTGTCTCTGAGCTTTTGCTTAAGGTGCCACTTCTAGCTTTTTCTGTTTCTTTGGTACTGAGGAATCAAACCCAGAGCTTCATGCATGCTAGGGCAAGCACACCATGTTTCTTTCCAGCCTACTTCTGGCTTTTTGCTGATTAATTGGACATGAGGATTATGGATTTTTCTTTCCAGGATGGCTTTGAACTGCTATCCTCAGATCTCAGTCCCTTGATTAGCTAGGACTACAGGCATGAGCCATTGGTGCCAGTTGCTCCTGTATTTTCTTTTTTTTTTCCAGAGCTGAGGACCAAGCCCAGGGCCTTGCACTCACCAGGCTGGCGCTCTTCCGCTGAGCTAATCCCCCAGCCCCGCTCCTGTATTTTCTAATGCCCTAATGGAACGTGATGACATTCACTCAGGATGTTACAACCTCTTAGTCACTGCTGCTGGCCTCCAGCAGCCCACCTGCACCCGACCCAGATGTGCTACTATGGCTCTAGTCTGTCCCCTTCTCTTTACCCTGGCTGCCCATACCCTAGGCCAGGGAACCCTACTTCTTGCTTGAACCCACAGCTTCCTAGGAATTCACTAGTTTGATACTCCCTATTCAATCAAAGGTGTCTTGAAAAGCACCTGCCTTCTCATGCTCGATCCTGGCACACTGGCTCCTCTGCTGGAAGGATCTTCCCCACTTTTTCTCATTGGTAACATCTCCTCATTTATCCACTTATTTACTCACTTGTTCATTCATTCATTCACTCATTCATTTCACAATCTTAGATGAGCTCTCCCATGTACTAGACACAGTTTAGATCTAGGGACCTCCTAGGGACTAAGACAATTAGAGGGCCACTCCCCTTCAGGAGTGTGTACCTAAGTACACACTGCCAGTGAAGGGCAGGCCAAGTACCACCCTGGGCTTGGAGAAGTTCAATGGGGATCTCTGGTGTGTAGAGGTGGAATTCTTCTTACTGGATCTTTCTATAGGCAGCTATTCTGCCCCAGCTGGCCCAGAAATGTTTCTCTGGCCATGGCTGCATCAGGTCCCTCCTCCCTCACCTCCCTCCCTCCTTTGTTCCCTCCCTCCCTCTTTTCCTACCTCCCTTATCAGAGGCAATTCTACCAGCTTGTCCTTGTCAGGTTTTGAGTCCTTCTCTGCAGTCATCTCCTGAGAAAGTTCTGAGATATGGGAAGGGCACCAAGTTCTGTGGGTCACATGGGGAAGCTGTGTGGAGGGAGGGGACAGAGAGACTCCCTAAATTGTGGAAGTTTATGTTCCCCTCAGATCCTCATGCCAGCTCACCTGCTATCAGGATATAGGATTCTCATTTTCCTGACCCTGAGCCTCATCCTCTCAGAGTAAAGAAGGGCCTTAGAGACGGTGGAGTCCCCACCCCTGGCTGCCCTGGGTGTGGATCTGGTGAGATACGTTGACAGTGTGAGAGGCAGAAGCTGCACAGAGCCAGGGCACAGCCACTGTAGGAGAAGCCCATTCCCTATCTCCATGCACTCCTAGCACCTGCATATGTGGCCCAAGATACCCATCAACGAGAAGCCTGCCTGTCCCTGCCCCCATCTAGGGCCATGGGGAAAGGTTCAAAGGTTCACAGGTCTTTATTCTGATAAAATGATAAGATTGCTAGGGAGGACTATGATTCCCAAACATCTTGGCTTTTTTTTTTTTTTTTGTCAGTTGTGGGGCTTGAACTCTGGGTCTGAGTGTTACCCTTCAGCTCTTCAGCTCAAGGCCAGTGCTCTACCACTTGAGCCACAGCACCACTTCTGGTTTTCTGAGTGGTTTATTAGAGATAAGAGTCTCGTGGTCTTTCCTGCCCTGGCTGGCTTTGAACCTGGATCCTCAGGTCTCAGCTTCCTGAGTATTAGGATTACAGGCGTGAGCCACCAGCTCCCAGCAACATCTTGGCTTTGACTGCACGTGAAGAGGTGGAAGGGGACAGGTGGGACCTACTTACGTTAGTGAGAACAAAGCTTTGTAGTCAGGCGCCTTGGACAGTTCACTTATGCTCTCTGAGCATCTCTTTATTTTAAATTTAATTTTGTTTTTATTTTTATTTTTGTTGGTCATGGGGCTTGAACTCTGGGCCTGGGCACTGTCCCTGAACTCTTCAACTCAAGGTGAGTGCTCTGCCACTTGAGCCACAGTACCACTTCCAGTTTTCTGGTGATTAATTGGACATAAGAGTCTCACAGATTTTGCTTTCCCAGCTGGTTTTGAATTGTGATCCTCAGATCTCAGCCTCCTGAGTAGCTAGGATTACAGGAATGAACCACTGGCACCTGGTTTGTTTTAATTTTTTTAATTAACTATTATGTTGATAGGAGAGAATCATTAGTTTTTAAAATTTTTTATTGTGATTAAGTGATTACATACATTTTACAAATTTCATAGTATTGTGAGACAGTGATACTTAGTTAAAGGTACAAACACATTCTAACCTTCATGAGGCAGATTGTCATTATTGTGGTCTAAAAGGTTTGTGAATTCTATGAGCTTTGACAATACAGCTATTTCTTCCACATCAGCTGATAGGTACATTTCTTTCCTTTTGCTTAGTGTTGGCAGTCCCCTCTATCCCTCTTATTACCTGCCCCCATCACTGCCCTTGAGTTGCTTTGTTTTTATCAATGTCCAGTGCAGCTGATGGGTCCCTCTGTTGTATGTTTCCCTCTGTTTCCCTCTGATTCTGTGTCCTTCTCCTAGTTTCCCTCATATGTGTGTATATATATACCATATATTGGTCAGCAGCATGGGGTCATTTAGTAATGATACGACATTGTGGAGGCCTTCTGTTTCTCGAGTCCTGTTTACTTTGTCATATCTCCTTACATTTTGTATTTAACATCCACATATCAGGGAGACCATGTGCCATTTGTCTCTTTGCTCTTGGCTTACTTTACTCAAAATGATTTTTTCTAGTTCCACCCATTTCCCTGTGAATGTCATTAGTTTGTCTTTTCTAATATTCCATTGTATATAGGTACCACAAATTTTGGATCTATTTATCAGTAGTGGGGCATCTGGGTTGTTTCCATATCTTGGCTATTGTGAACAGTGCTGCAATGAACATAGAGGTGCATGTGTCCTTGTATCCTGGTTCCTGTTGCTCAGGGTAGATGCCTAGGAGTGATATGGCTGGGTCGTAAGGGAGGTCTATATTTAGTTTTCTGAGGTATGTCCAGACTGCTTTCCAAAGTGGTTGTATTAGTATACATTCCCACCAGCAGTAGGATTCCTCTTTCTCCGCATCCCCTCCAGCATTTGTCAATGGCTGAATTTAGGATGCAGGCCATTCTGAGAGAGAATCATTAGTTGTTTATTCTTATTACTATTATTATTTGCTAGTCCTGAGACTTGAACTCAGGGCTGCGCACTGTCCTTGAGCTTCTTTTGCTCAACAATAACAGTCTACCACTTGAGCCACAGTGCCACTTCTAATTTTTCTTAGGTGGTGCTGAGGAATCAAACCCAGGGCTTCATGCATGTTAAGCAAGCACTCTATCACTAAGCCACATTCCCAGCCCAAGAGTACATTTCTTTTTTAATAATGTCACTCCTTTCCTTACTCTTCCTCAGTTTTTCCCTCCTATCTCCACCCACAAGTTGTATAGTTCATTTTCAACATAATGTCTAGCATCACTGCTGCTTTTTTTTTTTTTTTTTTGGGTCCAGTTGCGGGGCCTGAACTCTGGGCCTGGGTGCTGTCCCTCAGCTCTTCAGCTCAAGGCTAGCACTCTACCACTTGAGCCACAGCGCCACTTCCGGCTTTTTTTTTCTTTTTGTTTATGTGGTGCTGAGGAATCGAACCCAGGGCCTTATGCATGCAAGGCAAGCGCTCTACCACTGAGCCACCTTCCCAGCCGGTCACTGCTGCTTTTGTTCACCCTTTGTCCCCCTGTTTCTGTGTCCTCCTTACTCCCCGCCCCCACCCAAGACAGATAAACAAGATGAAAAGAAAACAGAAACAATAATGAAGAAGAAACCTTTTGTTTCCATTTCTGGCATTCATTTCAATAAATATTTTATGTGATCAAAGGCACATAGGCATTGCACCTTTGTGTCCTCTCCTAAGAGTATCCTCCTTTGCTCTCTGCGCTTCCATTTCATGTGGAGTATAGACTCTTCTCCTCTATGGAGTTGTCATTAGATTTAGATTTAGGCTGAGGGGCTAGGGGGAGTTTTGCAAATCTGTTAAGTGCGATGTATAGGTAGGGGTCCCTGACTCCCTGTCCCCTCTACAGCTGCTGGACATTGCTGGGAATCAGCTCACAGAGATCCCTGAAGGGCTTCCTGAGTCTCTTGAGTACCTGTACCTGCAGAACAACAAGATTAGCAGTGTGCCTGCCAATGCCTTCCACTCCACACCCAACCTCAAGGGGATCTTCCTCAGGTAGGCCAGCCCCCAGGGCATTGCATGTGCCCCTCGGGGCCACCTAGTTACATCAGGTTGGGCCCCATTCGCCTCTGCTTCCTGCAGGATGGGGACAGAGGACAGCCCTGGTCAGGTTCATGTGGTGATAGTCCAGCACCCTGGACTATCTTCCTGGAGAGCATCTTCCCATATCACAGTTGGGAAAAGTTGGACCCAGAGAGTAACAGTGGTTGCAGAGTGCAAGCTAGCTGGGCTGGGCTTAGGCCTCACACCAGGGATATAGGAATCTTGGTCCTTTTTGGCTTCTGGGGATTTGGATTGGGACTAGGATGAGTCGAAGGACACAGCCCCTGGAAGCCATGAGAACTTCTGCCCAGAGATGAGTGGTTCTTCGTGCCTTCTCTCCCCCTGCCCCTCCAGGAAACAGGAGACAGAACAGAGGAGGGGAGGACAGAAGACCTAAGGCTTGGTGACATGGGTGGTATGACATGCTCAAGCTAAGCTGCAGAGGGTAGAGTAGACTGCCATTAAGCCACAGTCTTTGCCTTCCCACAGGCTGACTATGTCCCTGGGCAGCTCAGCCATGGCCTTGCCTAGGTGCCAGCCTGGCCTTGTGTTAGTGCCAGAGAACAGCATTGTTGGCTCCCATGTCTACTCCCCAAGTGGGACTGAGTATGAGCAAAGGGAGATTGCCTCTCACCTTAGTGATGATACCCCAGCAGTCCTCTATACCCCAGCGATCCCCAGCTCTAACCATATGTACTTTTCGACCACCTACCAGACTTTTTTCCCAAGGGCCCTGCCTTCCCCTTTACCTTCTGAGGTGGGTAGGCATGAGGCCCCTGTGGTTGGGCTTCTGGCATTGACCCCTGTGCGGTGGCTCTGCAGGTTTAACAAGCTGGCCATGGGCTCCGTGGTGGAAAGTGCCTTCCAGAGACTGAAGCATCTGCAAGTCTTAGACATTGAAGGCAACTTTGAATTTGTTGGAGCTCCCAAGGACCCTGGTTGCTTCGACGAGGAAGAAGAAGAGGAGGAAAAAGAGGAAGAAGAGGAAGAAGAAGAAGAAGAAGAAAAGAGATAGTGAAGTGGTGATACCTATCCGACCTTGGTAGGCATCTGTGCGGGGTAGCACTGGCTCTCTTCAGCGCACGTTCCTATCCCTGACTCCGCTTGAGGATCTTTCTGTCCATCCTGTACCCTCTGCCTTCTGTCCTTCCTTCATTTTGCAAAACAGTCTGTTCATTTCACAAGGGAGGTGTGCCAGGCCCTGGGTGAGAGACTAGGGTTTAACTGTGAGGCTGAGGAGGCCAGCACATGTGGAACACGTGTGGGGCACGTGTGGCGTGTGGTGGGAGCCCCACACCAGAGGGTCAAGCTCAGGAGTGAGATCTGGGCTGGAGAAGGCAGTGTACTGTCAGCCTTGAAGCAGGCGCTGGAGCTGCAAGCATGGGGTGCGTGCCCTCAGAGTGAGTGAGGGGGACACCTGAATCAGAACAGACAGGAAAGGAGGTGGGAGAGCCACAGAGCCATGGTCATAGCCAGATCACGCACATACACAACACAGGCACCTACACATGTTTGTTTGTTTTTTTGGGTCCAGTCATGGGGCCTGAATTCTGGGACTGGGCGCTGTCCCTCAGCTCCTCAGCTCAAGGCTAGCGCTCTACCACTTGAGCCACAGCGCCACTTCCAGCTTTTTTCTTTTTGCTTATGTGGTGCTGAGGAAGCGAACCCAGGGCCTCTGGCATGCAAGGCAAGCGCTCTACCACTGAGCCACCTTCCCAGCCCCGAGGCACCTACACATGTGTACAACATTTGGATATACACATACCAGCACACAAGTGCTCATGGGTATACTTATGTACACATTCACAGAGCACACACAGAGTCTACACCATACAGGCACAGAACATGTACATACTTGCACACACACGTGTGGCTGCGTGTGAGTGTCCCCACACCTATGTGTACATAGGCCCTTACACAAAACACACATATGTGTACTTGACTCACACATGCACAGACTTCTCCAGAAGTGAGGCTTGGCTGTGTCAGTACTGGGGAAAGGCAGAGGGAGCTGGGTACCGCTGAGAACCCGCTGGGTTTATCCACACAGAGTCATCATAGGGACAAGATAGGCATGGCAGAGTGATGGGAAAGGCAGGGGAGGAATCTGGCTGAGAGGGGTTGAGACAGGGCAGAAGGGGGGAGACTACAGGAAGCTCAGGAAGGGCTGACTTTACTTGATGCCCCCTTGAGGGCTGGAGCTGGGGTGACCACTGATGGGGGTGGTGTTATGGGCAGGAGGGGGTGCCATGAGAGGAAGAGCAGGTGAAGGCAGCTGTGAGGACTGCAAGCCAGCGCTTCTCCCATTGGGGCAGTCGTAGCAGATCACTGGCTTGGTGACCAGATACGACGCCACATCAGCTTGTTTTCTGCATGTAGTAGGAGGTGCTTAGCAGACCAGGGAGGATAGAGAAGATAGATCCACCTATGGCTGAGATTTTAGAACAAGGAAATCAACTGTAGTAACCAGAGAATGACTGTGGTCCTGGTCCTGACTATAGAGGACTGAGTATGCTTGAGGTCATGGAGCCTGGATGTAGCCATGGAAGCAGGCTGCTAGCTGCTGTTAGGAAGAAGATGCCTGGGGCGGAGAGGAGCCTACACAGCTGTGGGCAGGTGGATGGGGACACCCTGTGATGGGTGACAGAGTCAGGGGAGCGGTTCATGTTGATAACCGAGAGAAGCATCTGCCTGGGTTCTGAGCATGGAGGGGCAGGCCCCAGAGACACTGCTCCAGCAGCTGGTGCCCTCCCTCTCTCCATCTCTCCCTGCCATGCTGTGGAAATGGAGCTCCTTCTTTGCTATTGTCCTCACATAGCAGAAGTGACAGGCCAACTAGTGAGGCCTTCATGGTCCTTGCAGGGAGGGAGCTGTCAGTTCTGGGGTGGAGAAGAATCTTCCCTTTCTGGAGGACATTGCACTGGTCAGGTCAGGTGACCAGGGCCCCAGGAAGAGGCCTCAGGGAATGGCCAGTACACGCAAAAGATTCCCATCCATGACGCCATGGTTACTTCCCTCTGGCTCTAGGCTCTCAGGGGCAACTGTCCCTCCCTGTCTGCTCCCCAGACTACCTCCTTTAGGGCCCCCTTACCTCTAGTTGGCCTCCCCCAGGTTGCTTATGACTGCTTTGTGTGTTTGTGGGTGTGCCCTGTGCTCACTCTGATTCTGTTATGTATTCTGCAGGATGATGGACCACTGGATTCCTTTCTGCAGCACAGGCCTGTGCCCTGCGAGCCCCAGTTCTGCCATGCTCAGCATTGAACCCATGGGGGTACCCTGCATTTCACAGATCGAGCCACCCTCCAAACAGTCCTCTCCAGTCCAGGCCACCACTGCTGCCACACCTGCCCTCTGAGCCATGCAGGCTCCAGAAGGGTCTGGCACACTCAGGCGGTGCCCCCCTCCTCCCCCCCCCCCATTGTCACACGGATGTTCCACAAACACAGTCATGTGCAAACAATCCTCCATGGCCTTTGTCACTGACAGCTCTTGCTCCCAGCCAGAACTGGACAGAACAGCTCACCCCCTGCCTTGCACACTGTCCATCTGTCCGTCTGTCCCCTGGAGAAGACACCATGGACGAGAGCCTCTCCATGACTTGTCCTGGCTGGCCACAAGTGCTTTCTGATGGACAAGCCCACTAGGACAGCAGGAGGCTTTTTAGTGCTCCTGGGGACCTTGGGCAAGAGTGAGGTGAAGACCCTGCAGCCAGGAGGAGCCAGGCAGGAGGGGCCCAGATGCTCCTAGGAGACATTCTGTTCTTTGGGTCTGCAGGGAAATTTTTGGTGCCTTCGATTTTGTTTTATAAGGAATTTTTTTTTGTAAAAATGTTAAAGTCGATTTTTCTTATTACAGAAAACTAATATAAAAGCATGACCCTTGCCCTCGCAGCACACAGTGTCTGTCTGTGTTTCCAGAAAGTGCTGATTTGGCATCTGCTTGGGGGGGTTGGGGTGGGATACAGGTCCTCAGCTGCTGGTGAGACCAGCAGCTCTTGGGGACCCTAAGAGAAGCAGAAGGTGCGGGAGATGGGGGCTTAGTGGCAGAAGAGGAGGTGTGGGAGGTGTATGGCCCTCAGCGGTAAGAATCATCAGGTAGGGCTGGGACCACCACACTCATTAGGCCTGAGAGCTCGCTCTGCATTCCCAGATACTGAGTGTCCAAGTAGAGGACCTCCCTGATTTTGCTTAGGGTTTGCCAAGAGGGCCACCTCTGTACCCCGGAGATATTATGATGGTGTCTATCTGTAGAGGTGGAAAGGGACAGGAGGTAGTTCCTGGGAGCTGGGACAGAGCTGACTTGGGAACAAGGGCTCTGCAGGGGCAGAGTGGGCTGGGATAGGAAGTTGCAGATGTGGCACTAGCTTTGAGTGAGGAAAACTGTGATGGGCAGAGCTTCCCTGCTGTGGACTGAGACATCCAAGAAGTAGTGACCTCTCAACCAGTGGAGGTGTGTAAGTGTACTCTTACCCACTCCACCAAAGAGCAACCCCCTACCTTACAGGGCAGACTTCATTGTTCCATTTGGGGACTCTGTGTGTGTGTGTGTGTGTGTGTGTGTGTGTGTGTGTGTGAGAGAGAGAGAGAGAGAGAGAGAGAGTGTCCTGGGGCTTGAACTCAGGGCCTGGGCACTGTCCTTGAGCCTTTGTGCTCAAGGCTAATGCTCTACCACTTGAGTCACTGCTCCACTTCTGGCTTTTTGGTGGTTAATTGGAGATGAGTCTCACAGACTTTCTTGCCCAGGCTGGCTTTGAACCTTGATCCTTAGCTCTCAGCCTCCTGAGTAGCTAGGATTACAGGCATGAACCATAGGTACCCAGCTCCATTTGGGAACTCAGGGAAGAGGCAAATGAGTTTGTCCACATGAAAGTGGCAGCGATTGATAGCTCGATATTTGACTTCTCCTAGTGTCTAGGCCTCAACAAGTGGTCTTCCAGCCCCCAACCTGCAGTGGGAGGCTGTGTCCTAGGCCTTTCCTGTACTTCTTAGATTCTGACACTTGAAGAAGGATGGATATAGTTCAGGAATTGGGGAGATAAGAGGAACAGGTACCCTCCTGAGCCCCCTCTTCCTCAGGGACCTTATAGAAGCCTGTTTGTTGTCTCCCAGGCCTTGGTGTCCTCATGAATCTCATGGTGTATGACTCTTCCTGACCCCACCAAACACACCCACTCTAGGCTGTGTGTTGAGGCCCCTTTGTGTCCCCTACAGGCCTCCTGGAGATCCCTTGGGACAAGAACTAGGAAGACACTGAAATGTCCTTGGTCATGTCCCCTAAGGCAAAGCATTCACCAAAGGGAGTAGGGCTGAGATTTCCTTTTATGGGGGTTGACCTCAGGACCCTGCCTGCCTGCAGAGCCAGGCTTAAGTCTGGGATGGAGCTCTGTCTATACTGTGACCCCTGGAAAATTCCCAGGCACAGAAAGGTCTGCTGAGACAGGTCCCTAGGCAGGCCGGTTTGGGCTGTCTTCTTCATGTGACAGCTCAGACAGACCTGTTCTGCCTCTGGCCACCAAGAGAGACTCATTTGTACCTCAATAGCCTTCATTGGCCCAGTTAAAGAGGTGCTGCTTAGAGTACAGGCCCTGTACCCACAAGTCTTGAAAAACGAAAGACTTTTATTTAGCACTGAATTTGCAAACACAGAAAGAATTAGGAGCTCAGACTCCACTCTGCCACACTTATCTCTGGAGAGTCATATCCCCTGGCGTGCCATTGGCATCTTGGCCAGAACAACTCAGGCTGAGCCTTGCTCTCTGGAGCCTGGCCTGCTCACTTGTCCCATTGGAGGCTGGCTTTGGATGTGCCCATGGGGCTTTCCAGCCCCAGTGAGGGTAACTGTCTTCACATTAGACAGGCTCTATAGGACAAAACTGATGGACAGGGACAGGCTGACGGTGGCATGTGGAAGGCAGCAGGTCTTGGCCCCCAGATGGGCCTGCCCTTGGGAAGAGCTGTTTGGCTGAGGTCACATGCTGTGGGTGGGGTGTGTGACTGGCCTGGGTCTGGACACAGCTGGGGCAGAAACTAGGCCATTGTTATATCTTCCTAAATTGGAAGCAGTGGTTGTTTGGGGCTATAAGAGGTCCTGCATCCTGTCCTGCCCGCTAGGAGGTAGTGGCCAGGTCTCCAAAAGACTTGAGTTCACATCTTGATCCTGACATTGCTTGCTTGAGACTTTGGACAAGTGTTTTTTTTGTTTGTTTGTTTGAGTCTTTGTTTTCTTTCTTTCTTTTTTTTTTAGCTCCAAGAGTCACCTGGTGCCCTAACAGGCTTATGTGGTAGAAATGGTCACGGCTAGGGATTGGGCCACATGGCTGTCTGGCTGGGCTCCTGAAGGTGGCCTTCCCTTCTCTGAGACCCATTTCTTATCTGTGGTTAGTTTCAGCCTCTCAAGGTGAGAAGAGTGCATGTGAGCCTGGCTAGCTGCTCAGGTGAGTTATGAGCTCTAATCCTGCCTCTAACCTCTGGTCCCAGAGGCCTCGCCTGGGCCTTGTGTGCTCAGACGTTGGTCTCCAGCTCACTGATCTCGATGGTGCAGTGGTCCAGACTGGAAGTGGCTTGCTCCTCATCCTGTTCCACCTGGACTGGGATATGGTGGGGGCAGGTGGGGCCAAGGGTCAGTTCAGAGGCCTCAGCCACGCTCTTGACACAGCCATTCTGCTGGGTGGCCACAAGCTGCTGAAGACTCACGGGTTTGGTCTCACAAGGCAGCAGTTTCTGGAGGTGAGGGAGGGGGGAAAGGCCATAATAGGATCAGAATGGATTGAGAGTGGGTACAACAGAGCAGACTCAGGGCTAGGAGCCACAAGAGGGATTTTCCTGTAGACATGCTGGTGGTCTTAGCAGGTGATAAGTTTCTGAGAGCCCCAGTTGCTAACCTGTCCTGTCAAGGCTTAGTAGAGGACAGACCTGACTCACAGGGTCTGGGGAGGGAGTTGGTAGCCCTCCACTTGAGCCTGAGCTTCCTCCCCATGAGGTGGGTGCGGTCTGCTGCACGTGGCTATAAGGGGTCCCTAAAGTGCACCTGAGTGATCCCACAGACATTGGAGTTGCTTAGCGGGCCAGTGTTATATGCGCCACCAGGAAGTACAATGTGAGTCCTGACACATACTCAATCACCTGCTTTTAGAGGAGTTAGTTATCCTTGCCACAAAGATACCAGGTGCGGCCCAGAGATGTAGGGGGAGTGGCTAAAGGCTGTCCAGTGTGTAGGTGGAAGATCAGGTACCCTGTCCATCCTACCTGGCTCCACTCCCTGATGGCCTCTGGAAGGGCATTGCTCTTACCTCCGCACCTGTGTCCCGAGCGAAGTCCTTTCTGCAGATGTGGGCCATGATGCCTGCTGCCAGAGCATCACCCAGCACATTAATCATGGTACGGAAGCGGTCCCTGGAGAGCCAAGATGGCCAGTGAGTCATGGGTACCTTAACAGGAACTGGTTGGAGGGCCATTCTTAACCCAAATGCCCACCTGCACAGGCAGTGACTCTGGCAGGACAGAACTCCCAGTCTGTCCTTCTCTGGTGCCATTGATTTGGTTGATACAGGACTGGCTTTACTAATACACGGCAGTGTGCTACCCAGGGCGCTGCTCCCAGACATCAAGGTCTGGTTGAATGTTCTGTGGTCACAATCTTGAGATTCTTTACAATTTTTGAACAAGGAGCCTCCTGTTTTCATTTGTGAATGGCAGGTCCTCAAGTCACACAGCCAGGCCAGTGTGGATGAGTGAGATACCCTACTCTGCATAGAAGCTCTGGGGAGGGGGCACAGCCCCTTTGCCCAGCTGTCTGCTGCCCTCACCAAGGGGTGGGGCTGGGGTGGGGACCAAGTACACTCACAGAGCCCAGTCCACAGCGATGATGAGGTTGATGTCGTCAGTGGGCAATCCCACAGAAGTAAGCACTATGACCATGGTGACAAGCCCAGCCTGGGGGATGCCAGCAGCCCCGATGCTGGCTGCGGTGGCCGTGATGCTGCCGAGGAAAGGGGAGGAGGATGAGGGGGAGAAGGAAGTGGCAAGGCTCCTGCCAGGGCCTGCAGCACTTCAAGGAAGAGACCAACATGTTAGGAACTCTGGGACAGCTGTGTAGAGGTGGGGTTCTAGGAACACCACATCTGGGAGTCTCAGGGAAGTACAGCCTTGCTCACATTCCCGTGGCCTTAGGGTCCCCTGGCATCAGGAGAATCCAAGGAGGCTGAGGAAACTGATGTCTGGAATGGGTGTCTGCCCCTACCTTGCTCTGGACATGAGTTGCAGGATCAGATTGGTGTGCTGGGGCTGGCCTGAAATAGCCTTCCCAACCGCATCCTGCCCTTACCAGTCCTCATGGTGCCCACCCTGCCCACCTGTCCAGCTCAAGCCCCCTCCTTGATCCTCCCCAGGGTCCCAAAGTCCCAGAGGCCAGTGCAGCATGAGTGGATTGACCTCATGGGCCTCAGAGACCTCTACCTGATGGTGATGATCTGCCCAAAGTCCAGCTCGTAGTTGTTGACCTGGGCGATGAAGATGGCAGCCACAGCCTCGTAGAGTGCAGTGCCGTCCATGTTGATGGTGGCGCCCACAGGCAGCACAAAGCGGGCAATACGCCGGTCAATGTGGTTGTTCTCCAGCAGGCACTTGAAGGTGATGGGCAGTGTAGCTGAGCTATGGGCAGAGGAGCTGGTGTCTGCCCACCCTGCTCCTCCAAGATGGGCAAGGCCTCTGCCAAGAAGCCACCCAACCCAAGCAGCCAGTCCACAGCATGGAGGATAGGTGCTCTGACAGGTATACTCACAGGGCAGGCTGCCAGTAAACCACCACCATCAAAGCACCTGCTATGTGCACCAGGTGTACTTGACTCTTTCTGAGTTAGTGCCATACTGATGGGCCAGGAGTATTTGAAGCAGAGGGTCATGGGGGCTTTATGCCAGAATGTCTGGACCTAGAGTCCCCCTCTAGGACCAAGGGTCTTGGCATGTCACTTTACCTGGTGCCTTGGTCTCTTTCTCCCACACAATATTCAGATATTGGAGCTACTGCAGGGTCAAGCCCTCTACCCCCCCAGTGCCTAGAACAGTGTCTGGCCTTGCAGAATCCTGGGAGGTGCCTCTGCTCAGGGGTGAGGACTGTGGGCACTTCACAGAATGAGACTGAGAACCAAGGAAGAGAAGTGAGGGCTGGAGGAAGAGCAGGAAGAGCAGGGCCTGGCTCCTTCAACTTCAACTTCCCTTTCACTGGGAACTTGGCTACTTACTGTGGAGAGGACACTTTTTCCTCTCAGCAACTGACTCCTGCCTTCCTTCTGATTGGCAGCGTGGTTTGCGCCACCCCGATTTCCTGAGGTCCTCTGTGTGCAGCTGTGATTTGGGGTTCCTAAAGCCAGTTGTAGGTTCGTAGGACAACCTCCCATTCACTTTTCTTACCTTGGTTGGATTATCCCAGCTTCCATTACAATCCTATACAGTAGAGGCTTAAATTATCCCAATATGAGTATGAGATCCTTTGAGCCTCTACCTCACAGGGTTGCTGTGGAGGCTGGGACAATCCCAGGGAGGTTAAGTGACTGCCTAACATCACACAGCCAGTGCATGACATAACAATTATCCATCTTGAAGCCCAGCATCTAGCCAGGACATCCAGTGACAGCGGACAGATGGACTCCCTCTGACAGTGCAGGGCCTGACCCAGCAGATGCACCATGAGGCCAGGGAAAGCAACAACAATCTGTCAGTCTATAGCTCTCTGCCCTGGAGGTGAGGAACTCGCTCCTTTATGGAGTAAGTGAGCTTTAGGGATGATGGGCAGAAAAAGGCTCAAGGCTAGTGGGGCTTTGAGCATCAAGTCCTAAACTAAGTCTTGTTGGCACAGCAACAAATGATGGACAGATGGATAGAATTCCACCTGCCCGGCCCACCTCAGAGCTACCTGGAGGAAGTGGCCAGTGCGATGAGTAGGGCCTGGAGTACACCACGGATGAAGACAATGGGGTTCTTCTTGGTGATGAAGAAGTAGAGCAGAGGCAGGATGAAGAGGCCGTGGACTACCAGCCCACATACCACAGTGATGGCATAGAAACCCAGCTTCTTTCCAACGGCCTTGGGGTCATCCATCTCCAGGATCTTGCCAGCGATGAGGAACACAATGCCGAAGGGGAAGTACCTGGGGTTGGCAGGGCAGCCCCTAGAGCTCAGCACAAGACAGGCAAGGGTCCCAGCCTGGCCCTGGTACCACATCTCTGGGTGGGTGGTCTGATCTCTGAGCCTCCCACAGCTCTACCCAGGACTGAGGGAGGGAGGGTGGGGACAGAGGAGGAGCCTCCCTGGAGAAGAAGGCTTACCACACAGCCACCGCCACGATCTTCATGACAGACTCATTGAGGCACTGGCAGAAGCTGACCAGGGGGGCACCACTGTCACCCATGCGGCCTAGCATAATGCCTATAGGGACAAACATCACATCATAGATGCATCAGGTCAGGGCGAGCGCGCGCGCGCACACACACACACACACACACACACACACACACACACACACACACACAGAGCACATCTCAGTCCTGCAGATGATGCCCACTTTCTTCTCCTCTGTAGCCTCCACCTCCAGCCTCTGCCACAATGCGGTGGATGGCTTCCCTTTGAACTAAAAATGCTTCTGCTGACCAGCCATTAATGGGTGACCTGTGTCCTTGGACCATAGCCAACATCTCTCCTCCCCCAGCTTCAGCCCCACCTATAACCCTGCTCTGTCTCCCCCTGCTCTTCCTTTTGCCATACCCTAGCCCTGGTCTTCTTCAGTTTTCGTACATTCTTGAAGCTCTTCATTGCCTTGGGGGTCTTTGCCCAGCATCTTGCAATGCCTGGAACACTGGGGTGAAGAGGGCACACCTTGCTGGCAGACAAGAGAGGCCAGAGTTGGAAGTGAAGCTGGATCCACCAGACCCATTTGGTCTGTGGCAGCCTGGTTGATGTAGACTCAAATGACAGCTCTATCCCTTTCTAGATGATTCCTGCTTCAGCCTCTACTTGGATGCCCCTGGGGGTGTCCAGGGACTCTGGCTGGCTTGGAGTTAATGTGCATGGAACTCGATTATGGCAGTGGGGTTCTTCCACAGCAAGGCCAGCAGGAGGAGGAAGGGAAAGCCCTGTTCATAGCAGCTGTGCACAGCCCTGTTCACATGGGCAGCTGTGGGCACAGAGAGGTGGACACAGCAGGTATGGGCACAAACTGGTATGGCTCACACTGTCTGGTTCATGTGTACACACATCTGTCTCAAAGGTTTCTTTGGCTCAGCCAACAGATGCTCTGAAGGTGGGAGAGGGAGGTTTAATAGTGGGGGCTGGCTGTCAGGGGCTAAGGGGGGACTTGTAGCTCTGTTTGTTGCACACTCTAGCCCTGGTCTCTCCACAGGCCTGACATTGTGGCCAAGGTGGTGAGATCCAATCCATATCGTCCAGTCATTCCCGCAAACAAGGCCAGCATGCCTCAGCCTGCACAGAGCTGCCCCGGCTGCCATGCAGACTCCCCACAATTGCTCCAACAGCAACTAAGGCCCGTTTCTCTGGCAGTGATCTGGGCAGAGAATGTGTGGTTTGTGAACCTAATTGAGTCTAGGGGTAGGAATCCTTGTGTGTGGGGGGGTGCAGGCAGAATTACGGTATTAGGTTTTGTGGAGGCTGAAGCTAGACAGATGGGTCCTTCTTCAAGAACAAGATTTTTTTTTTTTTTTTTGTTTGTTAAAGATACAGTCCTTAGGTGTGTGCTGGTGGCTCACACCTGTAATCAGGAGGCTGAGATCTGAGGATCATGGTTCAAAGTCAGTCCAGGTAGGAAAGTCTGTGAGACTCTTACCTCCAACAAACCACTCAGAAAACCAGAAGTGGTGCTGTGGTTCAAGTGGTAGAGCACTAGCCTTGAGCTGAAGAGTTGAGCACCCAGGCCCAGAGGTCAAGCCCCACGACTGACCAAAAAGATACAGTCCTCAAGTGACCCTAGAGCCTTGCCCTGTGGCTTTATGGTAAGTCACTTGAGGTTGGGAGCCTGAGAGACCCAGAGAAGAGTAGCACAGGGAAAGGTGTGGTCAGAGAGGTCACCGTGGGCCCCAAGCAATGGCACAGACAGAAGAAAAAAGTGGCCAGTGAGGAACCCTGTGGGTGGGCTGGAGGGAGAGCCTTCATGAACAGTGACAGTGCGTAGCAGGTCATCAAGGACCCTAATCAAAGGTCCAGGGGCACAAAAGAAGAGAGAGGGCAGTACTCTTTGAGACAAACCAGCCCCCAGCATAGGAATTCCCCATTCTGAGACAGGAGCTCCTGGCTCCAGCCCAGTGCCCCTCAATAAGGGACAGGAGCCGAGTCACTCTAATAGATAGGAAAAGAAGGCTACAGGTGAATTCTGGTGGGGTGGGGGTTGGCCGGGAGCACTTACCCATGGTGGCAGAGAAGATGACAATTCCCAGCACATTCATGCCATCGCTGGTGCCAGGCTCCGACTTGTAAACAATCTCTGGTGGTGGGGTCAAGTCCAGGGCAAAGTTGTGCACGTGAGAGCCATTCTCTTCCTGGACCCCATAGATAAGGATCCGTCGGGGAGGGGCCTCCTCTGTGGCCAGCTTGGGAGCCTTGACAACCGGGGTGGTCTTGGTGCGGTACTGGTGGGTGATATCCCACCCAGGAAGGAGTCAGAGTCCAAGGCTGGTATTCATAGCAACCACAAAACCTCTCCCTTATTGATTGACAGCACCATGTAAAGTGGGTAGGGCCGGGATCATCAATATTCCATCCAGACGAAAATGGAGATTTCTTCTCCCATCTACATACTTCCTAGCTATGTTTCCCCTTAGGCCCACTTCTCCCTTCCTGAATTGTCATCCTGCCTGGTTTTCCCTCTAACCATTGGTCCATCTCCTCATCAACCAGGTGTCCTTAACCCCAATGTAGCCCCTTCTGACCAGTCAGCACCTACTTACCTGGAGCCAGCCAGCCTATCCCCCTCCCTTGGTGTTTAAGTCCTTGGGAGCTAGACAAGGGGGTCCTCTCAACCATCGCAGTGTCAATAAGGTAAGTCTTCAGGGGGTGGGACTGGGACCTAAGGTCTTTGTTTGCTCTGTGTGTGTGTGTGTGTGTGTGTGTGTGTGTGTGTAAGAACATGCCAGTTCTAGGCTTGAACTCAGGGCCTTGAGCTCTTGCTTGGCTTTTTCGTTCACAGCTGATATTCTACCACTTGAGCCATACTTGTACTTCTGGCTTTTTGCTAGTTAACTGGAGATAAGAGTCTCACAGACTCGGGTTGGGAAGGTGGCTCAGTGGTAGAGTGCTCTACCATGCATGAGGCTCTGGGTTCGATTCCTCAGCACCACATAAGCAGGAAAAGCCGGAAGTGGCGTCGTGGCTGGAGTTGGAGTAGCAAAGCACTAGCCTTGAGCTGAAGAGCTGAGGGACAGCATCCAGGCCCAGAGTTCAGGCCCCATGACCGCCAAAAAAAAAAAAAAAAAGGAGTCTCACAGTCTCCTGAGTAGCTAGGATTACAGGCATCAGCTACCAGCACCTTGTTCAGCAATCCTGTTTTTCTCATCTGTAAGATGGGATTATGTTAGTGCCTGTCTGGATCAAATGAAACTACATAAAATGCTCCCAGCAGTGCCTGGCACGTGAGCCCTATGTAAACATTACTGTTACATCAACTGAAGCAGCAGCAGCAGCTCAAAGTTGAGCATATTGTGTGGGAGCTACAAAATGCTTCAAAGCTGAGCATGGTGGGTTAATCCATAATCTCAGCTACACAAAAGAGATATGAAGCAGTCTTACACAGAAAGTGTGAGACCCTACCTGAAAAATAATCTAAAGCAAAAAGGGCTGGAAGTGTGGCTCAAATAGTAGAGCACCTACTTCTGATTATAGAAGCACAGGGCCCTGAGTTCAAAAATCAGGCCAGCCTCCCCCTCACCAAAAGCACAATATTCAGTGGTGATGTAATAGCCTAACATGAGGCCAAACTGTTATTTGTCTATCCTCCCTTGTGGTCCTTTAGATTGTTTTCAAAGTTCTGCCTTGTTAGGATTGTTTTTTAGAAAGAGAGAAAACAGGTTTAGAAGTCAGACTGGTCTAGTTCATCTACTGGCTGGTCATTTCCCAGGGCTCTAACATTGAGTAGGTTATCTAATCCTTCTCAGCCTCAGTTTCCTCATCGAGGACTTGGATTGGGTTCCACTGCACGTGGGGATGGCATGGGATGATGGGATGGCACCTAGTGCTAAGGTTTCTTCATTAGGAGTGGAATCCAGGACAGAGGTGTGGCCGTGTGGCTGTGTGAGGCTGTAAGGATCTCCATCCCCAGTGTCCTACAGCCTCCAGCAGACAGGGTAGCCAGCGGCCTCTCCCACACCTCCCCATCATTCCCAGTGACCAGCTCACCTGTTTGAAAGTGGCTTCCACCAGGTTGGCTGGAAACATGTTCCTGGGAAGAAAGTCAGCAACTGAGGAATTCCAGAGAGACTAGGGATGGGATCCACGAGGTCATCTGAGTCCCCTTCCTTCTCCACCTGGCCAACTCCCCGGCTACCACACTCCCAGTCCCACCCCCAGCCCTTGGGGCTCCCTTTCTACATTCTGGGTCAGGGCCTTAGCTCCAGGCCTCCACCCACTGCCTTCCTGGAGCCTGGCACAGCCTCTGACTGCTTCTCTGTTTGGATCACTGAAACTAGAATCCTTCATGGGTCTCAGGCTACTTGCTATCCAGCCTGACTCCCAGGTAGACCGAGGACTTCCAGGTGCCAATCATCTGTGCCCTACACTTGTAGCCTGTCTGCTTCCCCTGAGTGTGGTGACCTCCTTAAAGGCAAATACTGGGGGGCGGGTAGAAGGCGGGGTTGGGGGAGGGGAGATGGGAAGGGATGGGAAGGGGAAACAGAGGAGGCAACAATGATAAGAAATTATCAAGATAATTCTTGATAAGAATTATCTTGCCCATGTAATTGTAACCCCTCTGTACGGTATTTCCACAATTTAAAAAAAAAGGCAAATACTGGCTGTTCATATCCTCTCTGTGAGTATGACAGTCACCGCTTGGTAGCAGGGATTAGTCTTTGGACCCCCCCCTCCCATAGAGACCAGGCCCCTGAGGATATCTAGTTCCCTTATATAAAATTGTGTACATATTTGTTCATAATCTAGACATATTCTGCTGTAACTTTAAATCATCTCTTGTTTACTTATAATAGTTAATGTGACATAAATACTTGTTATGTTATATTGTTTAGGGAATGACAAAAAAATCCATATGTGTTCAGTACAGGCACAGATTTTTTTTTCCCCCAGAATGTTTGTGATCTGTAGTTGATTATGCCCATGAATGTGGGCACAATTTCTCTATATAGAGAAATATGCATTTTGTTAGTATTTTATTATAAAGCTAAATTACTAGTATTTTATTATCTAGCCTACGAGATATGAAAACATGCTATATGTTTTTTTATACCAAAACACACTAAAAACTTTCTACGCAATGTTCTACACATAATAATCCATGTAACACAATCTAGCATAGCTAAATATTTCCAATTTGGTGCTAGGCACTTCAAGATCATGTCTGTAATCCTAGTTACTCAAGAGGCTGGGATCTGAGGATCACAGTTGGAAGTCAGCCTGGGCAGAAAAATCCATAAGACTCTTATCTCCAATTAACATGCCAAAAAGCTAGAAGGGGATCTGTGGCTCAAGTGGTAGAGTGCCAACCTTGAGCAAAAAAGCCAAGTGAGAGCACAAGCTCTTGAGTTCAAGACCCAGTACCAACACAAAAAGATGAGCAAAAATACATAAATTGGTGGGGAACCTGAGGATTCATTATGGGAACTGGAAAGTTGGCCAACTTGCAAAACAATAATAGGGCCATCCTTACTTAACACCTTACATCAAAATAAAATTCCAGATGGTTTCAATAATCACCAAAAACTAGATGACATATCAGTGTTGTATCATCTCTCAGGATATGGAAAAACTCCCTAAGAACAAAAACAGCTATAAAAATTGATTTTCCCACACTAAAATTAAGAAATCCCTAAGAGCATGGCACTTGATTGGGTTCTAGAACAGGAAGAGATGATATTGGTGGAAAAACTGGTGAAATCCAAATTTTGGCCGAAGTATCAGTTATGAACCATGAGATGGCTCATGGATCATGCTTGCAATCCTAGCTACTCGAGAGGCTGAGATCTGAGGATCTTGATTCAGAGCCAGTCTAGGCAGACAAACCTGAGAGAATCTAATCTCCAATTAAACCATAGTAAGTTACACTGGAGGTATAGCTCAAGTAGTAAAGCACTAGCTATGAGCAGAAAAAGCTAAGTGAGAGCTCAAGGACCTGAGTTTAAGCCTCAGTCCAGCACACACACACACACACACACACACACACACACACACACACACACACACACACACACACACACTACTAATTATATAAGGCCCTAACACTGGGAACCCTGAGCAGGATTGCTCTTTTTTTTTTTTTTTTGGTAACTTTCCATAAACCTAAAAGGTTGAGGGCAAAATGAGCTAAAAAAATAACTTCTCCAAGATAGATTATAATATAAAGTAAGTGAGAAAAACCAGATGACTAAATGATGAAGGGCTATCATTCTAAATTTATAAAGAACTTTTTTACAAATCCTGCCCTTGTCCTTATAATCAATTGCAACTCAGATGCTACCCAAGATTTTTGCTCATGTGCTTACTTCCCGAATTTGACCGTATGCAACACACACAGCCTGCTTTCTGCTGGATCATCTTCCTGCTTACTTTTTCTTGGCAAATCTCCCCTTCTATCAAGACTTAGCTTCCAGACACATGGAGCTCTGCACATGGACACGAACATGCATTATTTCTTTTCTTTTCTTCCTTCCTTCTTCCATCCTTCCTTCCCTCCCTTCCTTCTTCCTTCCCTTCCTTCCCTCCCTCCCTCCCTCCCTCCCTCCCTTCCTTCCCTTCCTCCGTTCTTTCATTCTTTCGTTTTCGTTCTTTTCTTTCTGTCAGTCATGGGGCTTGAACTCAGGGCCTGGGGTGCTGTCCCTGACCTTCTTTTGCTCAAAGACAATACTCTATCACTTTGAGCCACAGCGCCACTTCTGTTATTCTAGTGGTTAATTGGAGATAAGAGTCTCATGAACTTCCTTTCCTGTGCTGCCTTCAAACCACAATCTTCAGATCTCAGCCTCCTGAGTAGCTGGGATTACAGGTGGGAGCCACCAGCGCCCAGCTTGAGCACGCATTATTTCTTTTTTCTTTTCTTTCCCTCTCTCTTTTTTTTTTTTGGTCGGTCATGGGGCTTGAACTCTGGGCCTGGGTGCTGTCCCTCAGCTCTTCAGCTCAAGGCTAGTGTTCTACCACTTGAGCCACTGTGCCACTTCCAGTTTTCTGAGTGGTTTATTGGAGATAAGAATCTCTCGGACTGGGGGCTGGGAAGGTGGCTCAGTGGTAGAGCACTTGCCTTGCATGCTCGAGGCCCTGGGTTTGATTCCTCAGCACCACATAAGCAAAAAGAAAAAAGCCGGAAGTGGCGCTGTGGCTCCAGTGGTAGAGCGCTAGCCTTGAGCTGAAGAGCTGAGGGACAGTGCCCAGGCCCAGAGTTCAGGTCCCATGACCGGACCCAAAGAAAAAAAAAAAAAAAAAAAGAATCTCTCGGACTTTCCTGCCCGGGCTGGCTTTGAACCTCAATCCTCAGATCTCAGCTTCTTAAATAGGATTACAGGCCTGAGCCACCAGTGCCCAGTAAGCATGCATTATTTCTTAACCTTCCTCCCCAGCAGCTGTGGCTGGAAGCAGATGCTAATTTTTCATTGTTAAGATTCAAGTTTAGTGGACACAAATGGGAGGAGGAAAATACCAAAGAAGCTACCACACAGAAGGCATGTCATGTCCCAAACATCCTTTGCCCATTTTCCAGGAATTTCAGCTTTTGTCATAGGGAGAGAAGAAGCAGAGCTAGAATCTTAGAAGCTTAACAAGACATCCACCCCAGGACTTCAAGCAGATTTCTGCAGCTGCCTGCAAGGACCTCTGCCATCAAGCAGACCTGGAACACAGGGCTGGAGTGAGTGCCAAAATTTGTGGGTATGGCTGCCAGGGTGCAGAAATCCACCATGATCAGCTAGGAGATGCCCAGGCCGCACCAGTTTTTAAATAGCGTGAAAAATCTCTCCCCATCAATCCCAGGAGGGCCAAATGACTTACTGTTTTCTAATGATACTTAAAAGGGAAGTCTGTTTTATTCTGAACAGAAACTAAACAAAGATGTTAAAGAACCAAATGGAACTTACCTACTATGTATATTTCTTTATGACTTCCTTTAACATTGGGATCAATTTAAAGTATGGGCTATGGCAGGGAGACTGGTTACTGACCCAATGTTCAGTCTCCCTTCCTTGCTAACAGAAGCCCTGTTAAGATTCAAGGACCAAACCCTGATCACTAGCTTCCTTTGCTCTGTTGGTCTGTGTGTGTGTGTGTGTGTGTGTGTGTGTGTGCGTGTGTGTGTGTGTGCGTGTGTGCGCGCGCGCGCGCGCGCGCGCACGTGTGTGCGTGCGCGCACACTAGTGCATATAAACCAGTACGAGGGATTAAACTCAGGGCCTTGTGCTCTTGTTTGGCTTTTTTTTTTGCCATAAGGCTGGCACTTTACCATTTGAGCCATATCTCCATTTCCAGCTTTTTGCTGGTTAATTGGAGGTAAGATAGTGGGATTTTTCTGCCTGTGCTGGCTTTGAACCTCAATCACCAGATCTTAAGCCTTCTGAGTAACTAGGATTACAGGTGTGAGCCACCAATGTCCAGCCTCCTTTGTTCTTATTGGGGGTGGCCACTGAGGATAAGTAGAAGACATTAAACTCCACTCTTGAAGAGGTGACTAATCAGCCAGTCCCCTTTGTTTCTTTCCAACTTTCCTCTTTCTTCCTGGAATAAGGAGGAAATAGCTAGAACTTGAACAGCCTTCTTGGACCATGAGGCACACTGGTGATAAAAGCCAAGGGCTGAGCTCACAGGTGGCCACAACATGAGATCCTGATGCCCAAGAGCTGCCTTGCTCTGGACCACCGAGCAAAAGTAAGTCTTTATCTCACCCAAGCCACTGCTCTTGAATGTTTTCCTCTGCCAGTAGGCCACAGAAACGCTTGTCCTGGGACCCATCCTAAGAATCAGAGCTTGCCTGTACATTTAAGTAAGAATTACACTTTTGATGACTAAGTAGGAAAATGTACAATATTATTTTTGGCTCTGAATTCTCATGGGAAGTCTTCCTGCTTGTCCCAGGGGGCCTCCGCTCCTGGTGGCATCGACAAAATATAGACAAGAATAGCCATGCCTCCAATAACCACAGGCTGGGCTGGGCCTCCCAGGGGAGCATACCCACTTGCTTTTTGTAAATGTTCATTGCTCCAGTCCCAAATTCATTGCCAATTGCATGTCCCTAATCCAGGCCCCAAAGGTGAGGACTCTTGCTTTTCAAACACAGTTCCTGAGAGTTTCATCGAACTGCTGAGATGGTAACTGGGAACTATAAATAGAGCCAATCCATTACTCAATCTCTGTGGTGTTTTAATAAGGTTTTTTTTTTAAAGGAAGGGGCCAGCTCTGATTAGTATTACACTTGGATTTTCTTTGAGGCCACACTGGGAGTCACACTTTCTGGAGCTCCCATTTGAAGCCCTGGGAAATGAATTCATGTCTCAGTGGGTCAGCCAGGGACACAGCCTGTTGTGCTTCTCTGGAATCTTCTTTGAGATAAGGACACAGACTTTTGTATTCCCAGAGGTGAGTCGTGGAGCTTATTTCCCTGTGTAGTCAGCCCCATCTTTCCGGCAGTTCATATGAACGGTCCCTGCGTCCCAGTTCCCTGTCCCAGCCATATGTGTTCTTGTTTAGTCATCAACACTTGGCAGGCACCTGCTCTGGGCCAGAGCCCTGGGTGCCCTTATTACCCATGTCTCCATTTCGTCTCAAAGGCTCAGAGAGTGGCTGTCCCTTGCAACTCTCTTGTCTATCTGTCCTAGGATGGTGGGCAGTCCTGATGAAGGGGCTTGCATTTGCTTTCTAAGCTCCAGGCACAGTGTCTTCATTAAGAGAAAGTACTTAGTAAAAGATGGGTTGCGTGAGTATAAGTGACCATTTCATCTCCCAGGGCTTTTATCTCTATCCGGTGCTTTTAGCCACCAGTGCTTTTAGCCATATCCGGTCCACTCTACCTACTCAAATCCAGCCTTCCCAGGATGACCCTTATGCCTTTCCCATTCCCTTCCTCCCTCCCTTCCTCCCTTCCTTCTTTCCTTTCTCCCTTTCTTTTTGTTCCTTTTTTTTTGGGGGGGGGGAGTGCCAGTCCTGGAGCTTTAACTCAGGGCTTGGGTGCTATCTCTGAGCTTTTGTGCTCAAAGCTGGTGCTGTTCCACTTGAGCCACAGCTCCACTTCTGACTTTTTGGTGGCTCATTGGAAATGAGAGTCTCATGGACTCTCCTGCCTATGATCCTCTAATCTCAGCCTACTGAGTAGCTGGGATTACAAGCATAAGCCACCAGGGCCTCACTCTGGTTTCCCGTTTCTAATGTCTGACAGCCGCCACTCCCCACCCACCACTCCCCACCTACCACTCCCCACCCACCACTCCCCACCCACCACTCCCCACCCACCACTCCCCACCCACCACTCCCCACCTACCACTCCCCACCCACCACTCACAGTCCTCATCCTTGAAGTTGGGCTTTGCTCTATCACCCAGAAACCTGTGTCCAGGAGCTTCTGATCATGCCCTGCAGACTCTTTTCTAGTTGTAGCCTTTGTGTGTGGAACTATGGAGAAGCATCTCTGGAGAGGAGATCTAGTTTTCCTAGGATCATACAGGGTTTCTTATTGGCAGGGCTGAGATGAGACCACTAGGTACTACCCCAGGAAGTCTGTGGCCGCTCCCTAAACCCTACTCTCTGACTAAGAAGTGGTGCTAGTCATGCCCAACCACCCAGCTCAGCAAAAACCTCAAAGTACAAGTGTTGATTTCACCACGTGAGAAGCCACTGAGAGAGCTCAGGCATCAGGCTGGAACATTTGACTCTGATGTGTGCAGGATCTGGAACACCACAGCCGTGAGCCAGGGCGGCAGCGTGGGGAGACCAGGGCTCCCTGAACACCAGCCACTCCTTGCATCACACGGAAAGGCTGTTTTGAATAATAGAATCCGAGAAATGATGAATCACAGGCACCAAATCCTAGAACAACGGATCTTAGAAACAAGGTTTCTCTTGGATAAGGAACAGTGGCGTACACCTGTAATCCCAGCTACCTGGGAGGGTGCAGGTTGGAGGCCAGCCCAAGCAAAAAAATTAGTGAGAAATTTTGCCCTCCCCCCAGCATATTTTGCTAAGCATAGAAGTTCATTCCTGGTTGCTGCTGCAAGGGAGGGAGGCATAGATAGGAAGTTTTTAGTCTAAGGCCAGACCTGGGGAAAAAAGCAACAACAAGAGACATGTCCTAAAAATAACCAAAGTAAGAAATAGCTGAGGGTGCAGCTAGAGTGGTAAAGCACCTATACACAGCAGGCAAGAGGCCCTGAGTTCAAATCCTGGTACTGAGAAAGGAAGGAAGGAAGGAAGGAAGGAAGGAAGGAAGGAAGGAAGGAAGGAAGGAAGAGAGGAAGGGAGGGAGGGAGGGAGGGAGGGAGGGAGGGAGGAAGGAGGCAGTGAGGGAGGGAAAAGGAAGGAAGGTAAGAAGGAAGGAAGGAAAGGGGGAAGGAAATAAAGAAAGAAGAAAGATATATGGAAAGAAAGAAAAAGAAAAGAAGAAAGAGAAAGAAAGGAAGAAAGAGATGATGCGTCTCAAAATTCTTCTTGCCTTGGCCTCCAGGACAATTGTTCTCCTGCTTTTCCCCAGACCCGCTTATTCTTTGTGAGTACCATGCAGCCTACATTTTGCCTATGGACCAAGGTCAATCCAAACCTTTGTGCCCAGTGCATGGTGCATTTTTTTTCCTGAGCAACTCCAGCTCCTTCTGGGGCTTCAGACCCTGCTGCCCTCATACAAGAGAAGAAAACTGAATAAAGAGAAAGAAATTATAGATAAACCATGGGTATAGTTATGTCAGGTAGTAATAAAGTAGAGCACAGGGGAGATAATCACAGAGACTGGGACCCCTCTGAAGGTGATCCTGAGCAGAGACATAAATGGTGAGGAACAGAGCTATGAGCTGTCCACAGGAAAGGCCACCCAGAAGGGCAGCGATGGCGTGAGGTGGGGCCACAGGGGACATGGAAAGAGCAGCGAAGGCCAGTGTGGCTAGAGCAGAGATCAGTAGGAAAGATGAGTAGGAGTGACGGGCCTGTAAACCATGAAAATTGCAAGGGGATGGGCTGTAAGCCGGTTAAGCAGCCTTCCAGCTGACATGCTGAGGGCCGAGAAAAAGCAGGGCAGCCCACCAGACATTCCAGCAGGAGGGGGCCTAAAGGCCATGAACTGGGATAGGATTTTGAAAGTATTGCTGTTCTAACATGGAGGAATTGGATGCAAGTATGAGAAATAGAGAGACGTCCCATCAAGACCTGCAGGGCCAAGAAAAAGGCAAATTTCCAGGGCAAATCAAGAGTCTAGCTTGGACGTGTTAACTTTGAGATGCCTTTAAACAACTACGTGTGAGATTGTAGAGTTCTGCTAAGAACTTTCCAAGGTGCGCACCACATTTGGGAGGACAAAGGCATTCAAGGCCATGGTGTGGGATGCCCCTTCCCAGAGAAATAAGTACATCTAGGGAGGACAGATCTGCCTGGATCCTACCTGGCTCTGGCCTCCTGGATGGGAATCATCCAAGAGGAGAAAAATTGCAAGCAGGTTGCAATCTTTGGTTTATCCTACACTTCATAGATGAGAAGCTGGAGTTTCCTGGGGAAAGCCAGGGTAGTGGTAAGTAAGTTCTGTTGGTGGCCCTCATTAACATGCCTCCCTTTTCTTCTTCTTCTTCCTCCTCTTCCTCCTCCCCTCCTCTTCTCCTCCTCCTCCTCTTCTTCTCTTCCTCCTCCTCCTCTCCTCCTCCTCTTCCTTCTCCTCTACTTCTCCTCCTCCTTCTCTTCTCCTTCTCTTCTTCCTCCTCCTCTTCCTCCTTTCTTCCTCTTCTTCTTTTTCTTCTCCTCCTCCTCTTCCTCTTCCTCCTCCTCTTCCTCCTTCTCTTCCTCTTCCTCCTTTCTTCCTTTTCTTCTTTTTCTTCTCCTCCTCCTCTTCCTCTTCCTCCTCCTCTTCCTCCTTCTCCTTCTCTTCCTCTTCTTCCTCCTCCTCCTCTTCCTCCTCCTCCTTTTTTATGCCCACACTGGGGTTTGAACTCAGAGACTGGTCACTCTACCCTAGCTTTTTCACTCACTACTTGAGCCACAGCTCTACTTCCAGCTTTTTGGTGGTGAACCGAAGATAAGAGTCTGGTGGATTTTTCCTGCCCAGGCTGGTTTCAGAGTGCAATCCTTAGATCTCAGCCTCCTGAGTAGCTAGGATGACAGGGGTGAGTCACCAACACCTGGCCTACCATTCTGAATGGCTTCCCATACTGAGTCTAGGGTTGGCTATATGACTTGTGGCCCAGATACTGGTGGGCTTGCCCAAAGCAGAGGCATGTAGAAGCACTGTCCCCTGTCATTGCCCTCTCTCATGCTTCCACTTTCATTATAAGAAGCTGCCCAGGTAAGCTCCTCCCTGTTACCACCATGATCAGAGCTGAGCCTGCTGGAGCATCTCAGCCAAGCCACCCTAGTCCAGCTGTTCCCCAGCAGGGCCACTAGCCTTCTGCAGACCATGAGTGAGTTCAGTCTGCAGCATTAGACCCTTCCAGTGGATTGCAGATTCCTGGTTGTCATTTGGATTCCATGTCTTGGACAACTTGTTACAAACAATAACTGATTGACCCACAGGGTGAGGATTTCTTTTTTTTTTTTTACTTTTAGTTTCTTTTTTTTTTTTCAGTTCATTTCCATAAAAACATAATATAAAAGGCAATGCCACCATCTTCCCCTCCTGAGGGTGATCCACCAAGCTGGTCTGGCTGCTCCAGTAGTTCATAGCTCATCATGAGATATGTGCAGGGCATGGTCACATAGATCTGTTCTCTTACTGCAAAGTTTGTCTTTAACATCGTCGGCCTCTCGAGAAAAGAATTCAATAAGTTCATCCTCGTATTCCTCCGCAATGCTTTCACAGGCAAACTTGAGGGTGCCACTGATGTCTGAGTCAATTCGGATGCCCTCAGGTCCAGTTCACTGGATTCTCCACTCCGGCTCACAACCCGTACATAGTTCTTGCGGTGGGTGGAAGGGTCAATCTGTTCCCCATATTCCTTCATGCGGTCACACACCTCCTCTAGCAGTTCTGTGAGATGGGCCTCTGAGCGGGCATAGGGTACCTCTACTACTGACTGGCTGCCATCTGGATTGATCCGGAAAGATCCCATCTGAATGGTCTTCTTGGGATCCACTTGAGCGATTTCCCACTCTAGTTCATCTACTAGAGCCCTACAAGCTCCACAATGTAGATCCTGGCTCCTTCGAGCCCAGGAAGTTCCCAGCAGAGCCCCTAGAAGCAGGGCCAGCCCACCCCAGCCTTTCATCTTTAGCAGAATGGGATCGCTCCACCCGGCTCCCCGCGCCGAACCCGGGTCCTGAGCAGGCCTCGGAGGTGGCCCATACGGCCGTGCAAGCCCCCCAGCAGACTGACCCCCGAGGATTTCTTTAAGGGAAAGAAAGACCCTATGTAATGGGCATCTTTCCTCATGGGAGAGGAGAGAAATGTGTCTCCCTAACTTTAAGCAGGAGAACTACCCAGAGACCTTGGCTTCTATTTGTTAGTATTTGGGAAAGGTAGGGGCTGGTGCCTGACTTGTGTCCAAAGGGCCTGAGACAGGCTGCTTCACCAGTGAGAGTATTGGAGTTTCTCATGGACAGATATGGCCCTTGCTGAAAGGACTCTGCCCAGGAAAGTTACTCAGAGGGGACAGGGGATGCCAACAGAGAAGCTGACCAGAGGAGGGGCCTGATGAATGCATTGCTCTGGCAAGTGAGGAACTATAGTGCTACAGGGAATTCCAAAGACCCCAGGAGAGAAGCCCTGAAACAAAAATCCACCAAGGGGCCTAAGCACTCCCTCCCACCTCCAGGACAGAACCTTCCAGACCTGCGCCCTCCTCTCCCTTCTTACTTCCAGGAGCTGGCAGCAGAGGGACAGGTGAACTCAGGAAGGGGAACACACCCCATAATCCTCTTCCCACCACAATTCCTAAACTGGAATCAGATCCACACAGCTAGGCAAGGACTCCTTTTAAATCTGAATTTAAATCTGGGGTCTTAGTATGAGACAGGCCTGGGCCTCATAGTATCTGAAACTGACTAGAAAGTAAGGATTGCAAGAAGAGCACAGAGCAAGGTTACCTGGGCACTGGCTGAGCCCACCTGACCATTCCCAGTGGGGTGGGGTGCAGATGCAGTTAAGCCCTCCATGCTCTGGCCCCCCAGTGCCCCTACCTGGGTCATTTCCAAACCCCCATCTCCCACTCAGACTCTCCCACCAGATTCAGATCCACAGACCAGCCATCAGCAGGCCTCTCCCCTGGCAGGTCCGAAACTGCTCCTCTTGCACCATCCTGTGGGCTGGGGACTACATGCTCTCTGCTCAGGCAGTAGAAACTTCCATGTCATTGCAGCAACCATCATCACTTATGTCCTCTCCCCTCACCTCTGTCTGTACCCTCCTTGTCCCCAAACCTCCACCCTAGCTAGTCCCTGACTCCGCCTTTCCCTCCCAACCCTGATCTATGGCTTGCAGTGGGTCTTCTGAATTCAGTTGTGACCCTGTTCTGTTTAGAACCCATTTCCTGGGCTAAGGATGTAACTCAGTGGTAGAGCATTCTCCTGGAATTTGTAGGACTTATACTCAGTGGCTACTACTCCAGGAAGCCCCTGCCTACTCCCCTTTCCCTTCCTTTACACCTCTCTTTGTTCCTACCCCATCCCAGCCCCAGTTCTTCCTGTTGTCTCTTTTCTTCCTGGGTTTTCTCTGCTGCTAGACGATGATCACTTCTCCAGGGCAGGGCAGAAGGCTGAGGCTTCTGGTCCTAGCCTGGCTCAGAGCCAGATTGGTGAGGAAAAGGAGGGCTGGCTGTAAGGAGCCTTGGTAAAGGCGTTCCTACTGGTTAGTGCTGAGTCTTAGTGCTCCCCTGGGGAAGAGGTCTCAGCTCCTCGAGTCTTCCCTGCTAGGTAAGCTGGGAAAGGTACACCTTTTTGAACCTCACCCTTCATCTGTGTAAAGGGAAGTAATGAAGAAAGGCAGGTGACCCTCACTGCTTGCCTTGCTCCTTGCAGGCTGACTGTCCACAGACATTTATGGCTTAGTTAGCAATATGCTTAGACTCTGCTCTGCCCCTGTCACAGGGAGACATCTCGTCTTCTTACTGCCAGCCTCATGGGGCAGATGGTTTAAGGAGAACCTGGCATAAAGTCCTGGCTGCAGGTCAGAAATGTTCATCACTACCTTAAGATGCTCTGTACCTGGAAGTGGTGCTATGGCTCAAGTGGTAGAGCGCTAGCCTTGAGCTGAAGAGCTGAGGGACAGCACCCAGGCCCAGAGTTCAAGCCCCACGACTGGCAAAAAAAAAAAAAAGATGTTCTGTACCACCTCCGCCCCTACCCCTTGTTACTATAGATGATGGAGAGCAGACGAACACTTCTGGAACACTCTCTGGAAGTCACTCCTGGTACCCCTGCCAGGCATCCCCACCCCCCTGCCAGGTCCCCCAGGAGACATGGGTGGGGAGTTACCGGATAAGGTCCAGGAGGGCATCGGCCGAGCTCATGACTGGCTTCCCACTCTGCTCAGTTGTCTCTTTCTGGGCTGCACCACCTGGATGGATGATGGAGACCATGATGATGCCCACGACGACAGCCAGGAAGGTGGTCCACAGGTAGTATGCCACGGTGAGGATGCCCAGGCGGCTGGAGGTCTTAGCATCCAGGGAGGCCAGGCCTGACATCAAGCTGGGAGGGGGAGGTAGGTCAGGATATGTCTGCAGGGTGTGGTGGTATAAGACACTGCTCGCTCTGCCCCTCCACCATGTCCCCCACCCCCACGCACTTTTGGAGACCTCTCAGTCATCCATACATGTGGCTCCTCCTAGCCTTGCTTGCTGCTCGGATCTCCTGGAGTCACCAGCCAAGAGCATCATATCTCAGGCTGTTCCCCTCCCATGTTGTTCCTTTCCTCTCTGCCACTTGCCAAACTCCTGCCTACTAGGCAAGACCAGAGGAGTCCTTTTGTACTAGCTGGCTCCCTCAGTGTTAGGAGCCTGTTCTAGCCCCAGCCTCTGTCAGGACCCGGTTGTTACTGCTTTCCTGCTTCACTCTGTTATACATGAGAATCAAGGAAAAGACAGGCTTGACTTCTTCCTGGGTCCCTAATGCCCAGCAAGAGTGGACACAGAGCAGGTGGTTACATAGATTTGCCATATAAACCAATGAGTGAGTCAGAGTCGGTGACCCTGCCCTAGCTCTGCCAATTGGCCACATGGCCTCCAATGAAGCATGTCACTCTTCCATAGAGGAGCCTTGTGGTCCCCATCTCCAAAATTGGACCACCAGAGTTGCTTCTCCCAGAGAGGAGCCACTCCAGGGCCATCTTAGGGTAGTTCCTGGCCCAGACTTGCCCTTACAGGGGGTATTGTTGAGGGTACTTGTGCCCTTCTTACCCCTGGACTTTGTAACCACTAAGCTGGGCTGTCCATCCCTACTACAGGTTAGCTGCAGCGGGGCTGGGCTGAGGGAGAGGGTAAGAGATTAATTAATGAAATGCTTTTGTTTTGCTGCCAAAAGGATTTTATTTCCCCAAAGCCCTTTCATTCTTTCAGATAAAGGAAGTATTTGTCTGGTTTTAATCATGTAAACAAGAGCAGATAATCCCTGCCCATCCACCTCTTCCCTTCTTATCATCAGTTTGCACACAGCAGCCTGCACCAGGACTGTGCAGAGCAAGCCTGTGCCCCGCACTGCCCACTCACGGCGGCAGAGGCCCACCCTCGATGAAGGCACAGGCAAGGGGCTCTCTTCTCCAGGAAGCTTTCCTGACCACTGGGCTTGCTTCCCGTGGAGTCCCTGTGCTTCCCTCTGCCTCCACGTCTGCCTTTCAGAGGCAGTTTCCTGGAAGCATCTCTCTGGATGGGCCAGGGTCTGACAATGCTGAGTGAACAGAGCCAGCCCAGGCCTGACCCAGAGCATGGCTCAGTAGCAGGTGGCCGAATGAATGAATGAATGAATGAATGAATGAAGAGTTCATGGTCCTGATCATCCTCCTGCCAGGATGCCATATGTTAGCAATGGGCTTAGGTGGGTCTCAGACATAAATCCCAAAGGGCTCATAATGGGATTGTAAAGCCAGAGGAAATGGGGCTGCGGTGACCATTCACCAAGAGAAGTCACTCTCAGGCCAAGGCCCATGCACCAGCCCATGCCACTCAATACTCCTTCCACAACAGACACCCCCCTCCCCAACAAGTCCAGGCCACAGGCCACAGGATAACCTGGCCTTGAGAGAAGAATCTACTCATAGTCACCCTGGACACCAGCACTAGCAGCCCAGAACACAGACCCTGACTCCAGGCTCTTTTCATGCCTACTCTGTTGTGTCTTGGGTCCACAGAGAGACACAGGCACGCATTCTGGACTTCAGGGAGCTTCCGTTCTGGCAGTGGGGAGAAAGGGAGGTAAAGACATGGGGATACAGGAGACAAATCAGCAGGGCAAGGAAGGTCTATCTACTAGAGGGCGAGTGTAAACTCTAGCTAGGAAAGTCAGGAAGGACTTCCTCAAAGAGGTGGCATTGGAGTTGGATGTAGCAGAAGATGAGGCAGAGGCTGTAGGCTGGAAAGACTGGGGATGTGTCCTCTTCAGTGTGGCTAGAGCTGGGGTGTGGTGATGGGACAGGAAAGATAGATTGAGCATGGGGGGGGGTGGCTTGAATGCCAGGTCAGGGGGACTGAGAGCGATGAAGGGGGTGCACAGAGGAGACGGTGGAGGTCTAGTGGTACTTTGTACAACACATCCAGCAGAAGCCTCTAGATGTGTGAGAAGAAATGAGATTTAAGCCCTATGCTGGAAGGGCTGAGACAGCCATTGGAAGAGAAAACACCTAGGCTTTGAGATACAAAGCTGCAACTTGTCTGTGTACCAGATGGAATCACTAGAAAGAGGTTCCTGTTTTCATGAGAAGTGGAAAAGCAGTTTCCTGGCTCAGTTGTATCCCTTCAAGGGAGCCCCAGAGCCTCATGGGATAGAGCCCCCTCTCCAGGCTGGAGGGGGAAAAGGGCACATGGATAAGCATCAGATTTCAGAAAAGGCTCTTGAGGAAGAAAAGCCTGACACAGGGGTGGAAGAGGGAAGGAGTGTAGACTTTAGACAGGATCAGTGGGCCTTGGCCTCTTGTCCTGGAGGCCCAATGACTCCAGTAAAATGGAGGGAGTTCTCCCAGCATGCAGCTATGCTCTGGAGCCTCATCCTACCCAAATGGGAATGGAAGGAAGAGAGGGAGAAAGGCAGAGCAAGATGTCAACAGATGGCAGACAGGCTGGTTCCTTAGCTGGTGCTGGAGATGCTAGGGTGATGGCAATGGTCAAGAAGCTAAGAGGGGAGTATGGGAAGGGCATGGGTCTGTGAGAGTACTGCTGCTGGGACTTGTAACTAGAAAGGAGGCAAAGGTTCTGCCACATATTTATGCATACATGTGGGGCATGCCCCCCCTCCCCAAGCTCTAGGAAGAAAAGATAACAATTTTCTTCTCATTTGTAATTTATTTTCCCTGTTTCTCTGTGAATGGAAAACAGTGTTTTCAGAATGAAAGTGCCTCATGCATTGGAGATACAACCCCGCTACTCTGCCCAGAATCCAAAATTTGCTGGAAGCCTTACTGCTACCCAAACACCTCAACATTCAGCGCATGCAAACCTTCTAAGTCAGTGCTGTCATAGAGGGCCATAATGTGAGCCAAATTTGTTGTTTAAAATTGCCTAGTCATGGAAGTGGCGATGTGGCTCAATGTGGTAGAGTGCTAGCCTTGAGAGAAAGAGCTCAGGGACAGTGCCCAGGCCCTGAGTTCAAATCCAATGACTGACAAAAAAAATTGTCTAGTTATATTAAAGAGTCAAAAGAGGACTGGGAAGGTGGCTCAGTGGTAGGGCGCTTGCCTTGCATGCATGAGGCCCTCAGCTTGAATTCCTCCGTACTACATAAACAGAAAAAGCTGGAAGTGGAGCTGTGGCTCAAGTGGTGGAGCACTAGCCTTGAGCTGAAGAGCTGAGGGACAGTGCCCAGGCCCAGAGTTCAGGCCCCAGGACCGACAAAAAAAAGTCAAAAGAAGTCTTGTGTGATGATTTACACCTGTAATCTCAGTATTCAGGAGGCTGAGACAGGATGATCTTGAGTCAAGGTCACCTGACGATTATATAATGAGACCCAGATTTTAAAAAGATTAAAAAGAAACAGGTGAAATTCATTTTTAGAACACCTTTAACCTAGTACATCTAAAGTATCATCTTAATGTATAATCTATATAGAATGCCTTTGCACTGCTCAGATTTTATTTGTAATGAAATGAAGAGCTCAGTTCCTCAGTGGCACTAGCTGCATTTCCGGGGCTCTGACCACCACCTTGAACAGCTCAGGTCTGCAAACTGAGGACAGAGAACAGAGGCCAAGGAGCTGGAGATAATTGGCCAGGCTGCCCAGCTGCTAAATCCTAGAAGCTGGAATGGGGTACACTCTGGGGGTTCCTCCTCTCCCAAAGAGCCTTTCAGTGACTTGATTTAACTCCTGGGATGAAAAGGGTCTGGTTTGGGATGACCATGATTATAGTGTGATCTAGCTTATGTACTGCTTTTTTAGTTCAACTCTCAGAGTTCATGACTTACCAGTGGCTACAGCCCTTAGATTTGTGGTGGTGAGCTCCCCATCTTAGGAAGAGTCCAAGTAAAGCCTGGGTAGCTACCTGTTGGGATGCTAGACCAAGGGTTTTAGATAGACTAAGAGGTTCCATGAGGATGATGCTCTGGCTGTGGAAGTTATAGCAGGGACAACAGACAACCTTCCTTGCCTGTCCCATTCTAGGCTTGGCTAGGTGCTCTTTGCAGCCCTTAAGGTCCTTCAGGGGTCCAGAGAACAGTTCCAAGAGCCTAGAGACTGGAACTCCCTCCCAAGCCATCTGGCCACCATCAGAGCCCAGGGACTGGGGATCAAGAGATTGCAGTGATTAGAAACATTAACCCACAGAGACGGGGGAACTGGCCAGGCTCATTGGATGCAGGCAGCTTCAATCTGGTAATTGCAGGGTACTTGCAGGGTAGGGAAAGGGAGGCAGTCGCTGCTTGTTCCTGGTGGTAGGAGAAAAGGGCTGCCTACCCACTTTGCCTGGTTCTCAGGCCCCCCTTTCTAGGTGGGCATTGAGACTTATCCTATACTAGACAGTTCTGGATAGTGCCAAAGTACCAAAGCCCTGGTCCATGGTGGTAGGCGGGACTGCAAAGCCTTCTCCCAACACTGTCCATTCATGCCCCCAGGCTGCCTGTGTACCTCACTAGAGAGCCCAGCAGGCTATCCAGACTCTAGGCTCCCCCGATTGTGGGCACCACCCCCAGCTTTGGCCCTTCAGTGAATCGGCACACTCTTTTTTTTTTGGGGGGGGGGTCCAGTCGTGGGGTCTGAACTCTGGGCCTAGGCGCTGTCCCTCAGCTCTTCAGCTCAAGGCTAGTGCTCTACCACTTGAGCCACAGCGCCACTTCCGGCTTTTATCTTTTTGCTTATGTGGTGCTGAGGAATCGAACCCAGGGCCTCAGGCATGCAAAGCAAGCGCTCTACCACTGAGCCACCTTCCCAGCCCCTCGGCACACTCTTGAACCACCCAAACACCTTCACTTGTCTTGGGTCCAATGTACCTGCTCTTTGAATTCCATAAAGTGCCTTTGTATGGCTTTTTCCTTCTGCCTGCACCACCCCAC